GCCGCCCCCCCATCGCCCCGTCAAAGGGGCAAACCGCGAAAGGGCCGGCGACCCTTACGAGACCCAGAACCCCGCACAGCGCGAACACCACGCCGACCAGACGAGGGAGGGTCCGCAGGAGGAGCCAACCCCAAACCTGACACCAGAGGCCTACCACGACGAGAGGAACCCCGAGCCCTGGCACGACCTTTCCGGGAAGACCCACCCCGGGACCCCCGGAAAACCAACAAGTCCGACATCGGACGACAAGCCGCCGACGCAGCCTGAATAAACTGCGCCACAGCCGACTCCCCAAACAGGAGAGGACAAAAGGTGAAGAACGCCTAAGAGCCAGAGCCCAAGCAGATTCCACGGAGGAACCCAGCACCGCCTGCCGACACGCGAGACGGGAAGCATAGAACAGGGAAACCGCATCCCACAAAATCGGCGTGAACAGCTTCAACAAGGCAGCCGACGAACGCGCAGCCGAGGACAAGGTGCCGGACCCCGGGACTGACCCAAGCGTCCCCACATCCTCCACGAGCCAATCCGAAGACAGCTCCAGGAGGGAAAAGAACCGCAAGGCCGAACACAAAAGGCCCCGAGCGCGCAAGTCCTCCGCCACGAGCGCCGCCGAAAGGGAGGGAACCTGCACATGGAGCTGAATAACGCCCACATCGCGGGGAAGGGCAGGGGCAAACAAGCACTCATTCAGGTACTCAAGTTCACCCCCCAGGAAAACCTGAAGCACCGTGGAAGCTTCCCGCCACTCCAGCGTGCGGGAACGACAGAAAGAATGCCAGGAATCCAGACCAAACAAGGGGCAGTCTGCTAGCCAGGACGACTCCGGAACCTCGTAACGGAGCCAGAAAGGGAACGAAGTCCCAAACCTGAACGTGGACGGATCCATTTCCGAGGCATAATCCGGGTCACGCAGGAGGTAAGCTGCAAAGGCCGCTCGCACCACACCAGGTTGGATGCGATAAGCCGAAAACCTCCGGAAGGACGGAACCGACGTACCCGGGGGAACACGGAACCGTACCCGGGGAGGGGCCGACACCAAATCCAACTCGTACGCAGAGGGGGGGAAAGAAAACCCCACTCCTTGTAACAATAAGCCCCGCTCAGTGGGAAGAAAAACCCAGGCGGGGTCCAGCGGGGCCCAAGGCCCCCAAGTCAGCCCCTCCCCAGCCTCGAGGTCCGTCACCACAGGACCCGAGGCCGAGTCCTCTCCCCAAGCCCCGACCCCACAAGACAAGGACGGAGCAGCCGGAAAAGCTGGAGGAAGGGGGGCCCACTGGTCAGACCCTGAAGCTTCGGCCGGGAGACAAGACTCGAATGCCTCTGCCACCCCCCCGGAAGGGGCAACCCCCGAAGCTGCCCGAGTCTCGAGATCAAGTAACCCCTGCTCCGACCCCGAAACCCTCAGACGCTTCGGGGCCGGAAGCAGGGGCGGGGGACCAGAACGAACAGAAGGGGAAGGACGAGGAGGTGCGGACTGAACCAGGATCGAAGCGACCCCCACCCGCAAGTCCGGGTCTCGAAAAGCAAAGCGGGGCAGCCCCGGGGCATCCGGGGAAGCAACCAACCGAGCGCGTTGCAACAGACGAAACCTAGACTGCAACGCACGTGCCGCCTGTACCCGAATAGAATCATCAGAGGATTGGGTAAATTGAGTCACAAGCAAGCAGCAACACTCACAGGACTCAGGGTCGAAAGTATCACCGACCCAACAGGCAGCGTGGCAGAGGCAAAAACAATGAGGGTCACCCTGAGACAAGGGGACCGAGCAACCCTCAAACTCGCACACAGCGAGTGGGGACTCCGGGGTCACATCCATCGGACCCACGCGCCCCCTAGGGGATTCCCAGGGTCCTGAGCGTTTACTTTAAGAGGACTCGCGCTCAGGTAGTCCCAGGCAGGGTGCTGCAAACCGGCGCCCAAAACTACCAAGCAAACTTCTAAAGCTGAACCCCAGGGACGTGTACACTCACGGGGACCTAGCAGGGGGCGCCACCGAGGAGAACAGTGGAAGGGCAAAAACAAACTGAATAAAATGACAGAACCCCCCACCAGGCAAAAACAAAAAGAAAAACAAAACCCCGCAAGAGGACAGCGAACCCCAAGGAACAGAGCCGGCCGCGATGTCGGGAATGACAAGCTGAGCAGCACCCTGCGCCCCTACCAGTGCAAACTGCCTCTTACCTGCCGGTAACAAGGGAGAACAGAACACCCAAGAGCCCAACAGGCGGCCGAAAAACCTAAAGGTAAAACGGACCAGCAGAGGCAGACCCCGAGGAGCCTGTGGAAGGTGGCCCCCAAGCCCCAAGGGCAGTACTTACAGGGCACCTAGGGAAGGCAGCCCTAGGCGCATGCAGCCCGAGTACTGAAGATAACTCCTGGCTCTCGCACCCACAAAACTAACACCACACTCAAAGCACAGTGCAGTAGCGACACCGGAGCCAGAGCACACGACCATCGCCTATAGCATCAGCCTCAAGAACTGAGGTGTGGGTAGCCGGCGCGGGGGGTCTGGGGCTCCCCCTTCCCCCTCCCGGGGAGGGGGGAGCTGCGCAGACAGCGGCGCGGCAGTGTGTGACATCACACTAGTTTGCTTGTTTTCGGTTGGGGAGTTCTATCCACTAGTTCGGTTTTAGGTAGCAATTTTAACCAGAATAGGGGTTTGTTTTGGGGCGCTTACCTTTCTGGGTGCCTGTTCCGGTCGATGGCAGACATAGAATGCTTCCAACTACACGGGGGCTTCTATAGGCCATTGCTCCCCTTGCCTCTCTGAGGGGGCCCGGTTCTGGCCGTGGTCCCCGGTAGGCCTAAGAACTCCATACACATGACTGATGCCAAAGTCTGACATTAGCATATCAGCCTGGGATAGCTCCGGGGAGCCGACGGGGCTCCCCCCAGAAAGACTATGTTAACAGGCAGTACATACTAAAGAATGATCTATCTACCTGCTGAGGTAGATATAAAAAATTTTGAACATTTTATACAAAACATTTTTGTAAGCCTAATTTGTCCTCATTGGAGACACTCCACAAGAAGATATTAGCAGAAAGTAAAAAAAAAAGTGTCTGCAGAGAACCTTTATACTCCCACATTAACGATAAAGCAAGTCAACAATCATACAACCACTACTCATATGCATATTATTACTGGACGAAGAGAACAGAAGAGCCAGAAGATGAGAGAAGCAGAGCAATACACGACGAACAGGAGACTCACAAGATAAGGGAAGTAGATGACGTACGAAGACTACAAGTTAGACTGATATTAAGACTTTTTAAAAACCGTTTAAAAACTCATAACACTGGAAGATGAGTTGCATATGTATTTGTAAGATTCTAAATAGGCCACCTTATACACAGAGCACTACATATTACAACACAAAAACACAATAAATATTCAACAAACAGAAGATGCACAAAAATAGTTCTGTAGCATCTTTCAATAAAAGCCTCTACCCAATGTAACATAGCAACAGTTTATTTTATTTTTAAAAATTACAACCTGAATGCTTCTTATGCACTCTAGGTACCATTATCAGAAGAAACATCAAAACACCTTTTCTATATTAAAATTTACAAAAGTATAGGAGTGTATATATGATGACAAGCAAAAGATACAAATAGATTTAACTTTTAAGTATAATAATAATATCAAACCTAAGCTCTTAATGTTTAAATGATACAAATTCAAGACACACCAAACAGAAAAGTTCTTGAATAGAAACCTTATCCAATATAATTTTGTTCTGTTTAGTCACTGCAGTACAAAAGAAAGGGTTCATTCTAGCACTCTACTTGTCTATATTTGACACAACAGCTTGATTATGTACAAACATAGTTCCACAAACTTGTTGAGAGAGAGAAGGGAAAGAGTACTCAAGCTATCAACAATATGTCAACATCATTGAACTTGAAAATGAACTTGCAAGCTGGTTAACTCTGAACATTTGTTTACCAACTATCCCCAGTCACCACACACACCCCTTAACCACTGTGCTGCGCCAACTGAGAAATCTCGCTCTGAGAGTTGTACTATTTTTTTTAATTAGGCTATATTTTAATGTTTTTTTAATGTTTATCACTCTTTGTGTCTTGAAATGAAAATGGTCGAGTTTGGAAAAATTGACATTAACTTTACCTGAATATTTAAAAAACAAAACAAAAATATGTCCTTAACAATTGCACTATGAAGTTTTTGCCAAAAACAGGTATGCAGTGCAGGGGTTAAGCTATTATTGACCATTCTGAAACAATATATTTAATAATGGTAAGGTTATTATGCACCAAATGTTTAGACTTAACCATCAAGTATTTTGGGTTGTGCCAGTAACCCTTAAGAGTCAATGCTGTAATACTTTTAAATGCATGAAATAATTAACCAACATTTAAATACCATGATAATTATTAAGAAAAAATGTTGCACAACGTTAGTCAAAGGGTGATAGCTCATTTGTATCTCTGCTTTCACATTGCTGAGAATTAACTCTATTGTAACAACACATTCATACCACTGGAAGTCAATCGTGAAAACAGACACATTGTGAACATACACAATGTCTAGAGGGAATGATGAAAACTCAAACAGATTAACAGTCACACAAGCCATGGTAATCAATGTGGAAGAATTAACGTTGAATTATGATGAATGCAATCTGCCACACCCGCAATCAAAACCTATTTTAAGATGCCCGTCACTGAGGAAGTAAGACAATCAATTGTCTTTACTGCCTACAGTATGTGGGTAAGTGAATGACTGAGCGAGTGTGTCAGCCTTGTGTGTAAATGGTTGTGTTACTGGACAACAATCCCATGAGAAAAAACCAGTTCAGCAATATCAATTCTTCTTCAAGTACAGTAATAGTATGAAACAAACAAAAAAAAAATTGTACATTAACTTTTCAATTAGAAATGAAGTATTATATCATATTTGATCTTTGGCTATCATTTATCAAATATTAAATAATGCAAAATATGATGTAAATTAAAAATAATAAGCCTGACCTTAAAGTTTCCATTATAAGGCATTCATTATCCCTCCAGCATCAATCCGATGTTAAGAAACTTTGCCTACTCGAATACAAAATCAGCTGAAAGCAAAAGTTACAAAATTGATAACATTTCAAAGAATCAACACTTTCCAAAGCATGGCTAAAGGCTGGAAAGGAGTTAAATATGGAGAAAAGCTGAAAGAGAATGTTGGGAGGGGGAGGGGAATCCCATTATGGAATAACATACAAGGTCGCTGTGTGTCACAATAACGCAGCTCAAAATTAGACACCCACTGTTATCATTGTCCTATCTTTTCATATGTGAGGGCTGGGTTTTTAATATACAAGGTAACAATGATGAGAATACCTAGAGAATATGCAATTAGCACCCTGCAGAATTACGGGAAATGGTGTATGAATTCCAGACCATTACAAAGAGCCTGCCTGGATATTTATAACACCGTAGGCACCACCTGAGCAACTGGCATCTTAACCCGAGAGTAGTTCTCTTCAAGCATACTTAAATGCAAGCACCACAACTTTTTAGAAAATGATTTAGAGAGAGTGTTTTAGAAAACACATCTTTGCCAATTCCAATGTTACTTTTTTGTGCAACTGCACAACTGTGCTCACGAGTATAACTCTCAAGAATTAATTTCTAAACTTTAGCGTAACAGCGCTACGCAGCATATGACCTGCTATACCACGAGAATATTACTAAATGAGAAAAGGATGATCCATTTCTTAACTAGCAATCTTGTTTGGCAATATCCACACTGTAGCACCAATCTAAAATCTGCCATACGATCTATCATCCACACACACACACAATCAATAATGAATTCTGTCTCGGAACTAATAAGTATCCCCATCCTTTCAATTGCTTAAGAGATGTACATATATAGCTCAAAAGCCAAGGGCTGGAATTTTTGTCATCCTGTGCTTAATTGCTTCAATTTTCTTGCAAATTTCATCTCTTGTTCTTTTCATCAAAGCATTGGTTCTACTGAAGGCCTCTCAGTCTTCTGACAAATATAAAACATACCTGTACAGATATATTGGGGCTGCTTCAGCTTTTAATTCAAAACGTATTCAAGTATCTAGTGGTGACACTGAATAGCTAGATCCCCTTGCGGTTACGCCCTTCTTACCTTGCAGTTACCTTGGGTTGATTCCAGGGGTCAAGATTATATATACAATATACAGTATCCCCTTTATGGTCTTATACTTTCTAGTGCTTTTATCTCGGCTTTGAGTTTATGAGTTTACCTCTGATCCACAAGCGCCTACTCACCTTAATTCAGATTTTGGTCCTGGCTCCAAGTAGACCCGAGTAGGTCTCAGAGGCATGGGTTAATTCCTTATAGCTTGGCAGTCCCAATGCTTTAGCTCGAGAAGCTCTCAATGGCACACCAGAAAAGTGTTTCATTACATTCAATATTTGATTTTTAGTACATCTTAAAATTATACAGAATGTATATTATTATTTATTATACATACTTTGTATATTATATATACATAATATATGTATTATTATACATAATAAAAGTCCAGTACCCACATGCTTTCCGGACACCTCGGGACCAAGACTGAATGAATAACCTGTTTTCTCCGGATAAGTGGTTTGTAACCCTGAAAAGTTGGGGGGAAAAATTTGAAAATTTTATTGCAGAAATTCAACAGAATTTTATTTGTACTAGCCAATATAATTAGTTCTGATCCACTTCTTAACTTGAAGATTATAGTTGACGGAGCATTGTTATTTAGATTGAAAAGGTGGTGTGGATGATGATGATGATGATGATGATGATGGGTTGACTGCAGAAGAGATTAATGGTGATGAGGTATCCTCAGCAGACTGCCTTTCACCACATACCTAATGCCACGGCAAAGTTTAAAGCTTCTGAGCCATCCATCAGTGTATGAACACTGCTCACGTGGCACCCAATATGGTCACTGGGTGACCATACTAGGCCCATCTCCCACCCATGCAATCTCCAACAACCTTGGGCCTGGCTGGCGTTGGCCTCACGACTTTATAACACATTTTTATTTGAACCGCCTGCCTCACCAGTTATTCAGACAATCCCAAAATGGATAACAGGCATATCCGGATAAGTGGCATCCGGAAAGCATGCGGTTATATGTATACCAAAATAACAACCTGCCAAACAATTATGCCACACGATATTTGCTTTCATTTATCCAGAATTTCAGTTTAACCTAAACTATTGCACTGTTTTTTAATACTTTTGAATCTCTAGTAATGTAAAATATTCTAATTTCAGTAATTATTTACTATAAAAAATAACATTAAATAGACTGTTATTGTATGTTGTAGTTGTGTCCCTAACTACATTTATGTTCTGTAGCGTACCTTGCCGAACATTTACACCGCTTTATAGTTCATTGCGCATTCTCACACTTATTATCCTTTTAAAGTTATTATTGTATTTGTAGGTTCCTCCTCATTCTTTTCATTAAATAGCACCTTATCTGCTTCCTGTTTTAAAATAATGTTTTTTATTTTCTTTATGGCCATGGTCCCTTGGAAAGGCAAGTTGGTCACAATCAGGTCAAGGACTGAGGTATTTACAAGTAAATACAGCCATGGATCTGGAGTCACAATAACAAACCTGATTATACAAATACCAGTACAATACTCTAAAAAATAGCTTCAACCAAACATAAAACACTGCTTTTTCAGTGGGAATGTAACTCAAGGGGTCCCTTGATCTAGTACGAGTGCCACCTCTCCTCACCCATCATGAAACATCCATTTGCTTTACAGTGTAATTATTTTAATGCAAGTGCATAATGTCAGCATCAGCAGCACTCATGAGCTAGCAAAACCATCATCAAATATACATGTGCCACCTCCAATACCCCAAACTGTCAAAATGGTCGATGTCACCCCAAGCTGTGAAAATAGTTGATGTCACCCCAAGCTGTGAAAATAGTCGATGTCACCCCAAGCTGTGAAAATGGTTGATGTTAAATGTAGGGAACCCCACCCCCACCCCTTGACTACAGATAAGGGCGTACCAGTGACCAAGGTAGATAGATACACGGACAAACTTTTGGCATGAAGATCAAATGCTGGGAATTTACATTACTAAGCTTACCAATAAAAAAAATGATTAACAAAATACTCTTATTATTATTATTATTATTATTATTATTATTATTATTATTATATTATTTTCTTTATATTACTGGTGATTTTTATCTATACAGTACAGACTATTGAAGTAAATTGCTAAACTTTGTCTCTCTCATGTAGAGCTAAATACAAAAGTCAGTGCCACACACAAACCTTTATCAGTATGTAAGCAATGGGACAACAGTGATATTCCACACACTGAATTTCATCAAAACAATAATGTAACTTGCTGTTTAATTATATATATAAACTATACAGAGAAATTTTAAACAATTACATCTACTGCTAATTAATAATGATGCATTAAATGCAATGTCATATAAATCTATTTTCAATCACATATTATAAGATTGGAATTAATATTCAAGTAAATGCGCTCCTAGAAACAATTCTTTATTAGCCAAATTAGGAATTAAAACTTGTGTTTGAATCCTGGGCAGGGCAAGATGGTTGAGGATCATTTCTTTATTGCTCGTCCTGGTACACCCAGCAGTAATTGGGGGACTTTGATGTAAGAGTGGTTAGCAAATAGAGTTCTGAGGCAAGCCTTCAAATGAGCAGTGAAGGGGGAAAGCGCTTAGCCCATAAAGAAAACACTTCTATGCAGACATTGAGTCACCATAACATGACAGAAGACATGATGACTAAAGCACACACCAGAAGATGAGACAACGACGTTTCAGTCCGTCCATCCTTGACATGATAATGGTCCAGGACGGACTGAAACATCGTCTCCTCTTCATTTTCTAGTGTGTGGTTTGGTCATCAAAACACTTTGACTCCAGTACCACCCCTTAGATTTGAAAAAAAAATATTAATAGAACCAGCGTTGAATATAATGAAACGTCATTTTCTGGGTGGGACCTGGGGGCTCACTTGAGCTATCAGGCTAATGTAAAACATATTAGACCGGGGCATCAGTGTATGGCGTTCAGCCTACCAGGAACCACGAGCCAGAACCTGCCATGCTCAGAGAGGTTTCAGAGAGCAATGGCCCTGGAAACCACTGTGGTTGGGGTTTTCCTTATCTGTCATCGATCGGGGTTAGGCACCCAGAAAGGTAGACATAAAACCCCACATGGTACGAAAGCAGACGCCGAAAAGAGAAGCAGAACTCCCTCCAATCCCAAGGAAACAAGCATGTCACGCTCCACTGCCGCTCTGTTCGTCCACACAGCCCGGGGCTCCCCGCGCCCTCCCTCTCAGGGAAGGGGGAGCCCCGGGCCTCCCCCGCGCCAGCTACCTAGCACTCAAGTTCGGAAGCTAAGCATCAAATAACACAAAAAACTGCCGAGCCTGTGCCGGAGGAGAGCATGAAGCTCTCCAACCAGACTCCCAGAGACCAAACCCAACAGAAACAGAGCCTTGGAGGGGGAAGAGGGTTGCCAGGGAGCCTCTAGGGCTCACCCAGAAAATGGCATTTCATCACATTCAGTGCTAGTTTTCTGTGGGAAGCCCCTATGGCTCTTTGGAGCTAAATACCCAAAGATAAGGAAAAGAGGGACTTACCCCGGGAGGCAGCCACCACAGACTCCTCAACACTTCCGAACTTCCGTTATATGAAAGCGTTATATGACAAAGAGTGCTTGGAAGACGGGACACCACGAGCGTAGCTCTCATCCTGTAACTACACTTAGGTAATTACACAAAGTCGAGACAACTGGCTGCAATCTGCGACCCAAAGCAACACAGGAACACCCAGGAGCAGGAATATTAACCAAATAACTGGTAGCCAGGACCCTGTTCGACCTCCAAAATCCCCACGCCCAAATATCAGCCCAGGACATGTTGCCAAACACGGCAGCCAACGCAGCAAACTTCCTAATGTCATGGGCACGAGGATAGACTGCAGGCTAGCTAGACTTAACCCTGCGGATGATCTGGGAGGCCCGAGCCCTAGAACAGAGAACGAGGGAAACTGGATCAACTCAAGGAACATCCCCAGTCACTGAAGTTAAAGCGTGCAGATAATGATGAAGAGCCACAACCGGACAACACATGATGCATTCTCGGCCTGAGTAACCAAGCATCAATGACCCAAGGACCCATCCAGAAAGTAGCCGTCTTGTTCTTCACCAGAAAAGGAGAAGGCTGAAACCAAACAAACCGAGCACCCGGACTGAAGGAGCAGAATCCCCTGCGCCGGAGGAGAGCATGAAGCTCTCTGACCAGATTCCCAGAGGCCAAAGCCAACAGAAACAGAGCCTTGCAAAAACAATCTAGAACCAAAGGAGCCACCACAAACCGAGGAGAGGTAAGACAGGAGAGCACCCTGTCCAAGAACCAGGATGGCTTAGGCAGCGCATGAGCAGGCCAGAGGTGAAACAAAGCACGAGAAAGCTTACGGAACGGGGTAGAAATGAGATCCACCCCGAACGCAAGCTAGAGTAGCTCTGCCAGCGCCGCATGATACGAGGCGGCAATATTAGGCATCAAACGACAGTTCTGAAAAAAACAAGACAGAAAGGACAAGACAAACTGATCAGAAATAGAAGTAACCTATAAAAAGAGAGAAAATGACGTAAAGAATGCCAGGAAACGTCATACTGTCATCGTGCAACTGACACAAGGTCCCCGAAGTGCAAACCCAGTGATTGTGAGAGAGGCAGAGCCCCGAAGGAACCTGAACAGATGCCGAAGCCAAACCCGACGCAGTGGGTAAACTAGCACAACAAAGTTCAAACTCCTGCAAAACTGCTCGAGCAACTGCCAAGTGACCTGGAACACTCCCCCCCCCCAGAAACAGCCAAAGGCGGAACTTGAATTTGGAGGAAGAGACATGGAAGCGGTCCAAGAGCCCCACAAAAGACCCAGCCAAGTCCGAATCTGGGACAGAACCAAATGGAACTTCCTCCAGTTCACCAGGAACCAGAACCCGTCGAGCTGGGGAAGAATCACACCCCTGGCAAGCAGACAAGAGGACTGACTGGGAGCCCACACCTGCCGGTCGTTGAGGTAGGCCAGGACCTACCTAGCAGACGCAGACGGGTCACCACGACCTGTTTAAGACACGTGAATACACAAGGTGCCAGATTCAAGCCAAAATGAAGGCAACAAAAGCAGTAAGCCTGATGTCCCACCACAAAACCTAGCCGGTCCCTGAACCTCGGATGAATAGGAACATGCCAATATGCATCCTTGAGGTCCAGGAACACCATCCAGGCATCCAGCTCCAAAAGAAGCCGGATCTGAGAGAGAGTGGTCATCCGAAAAGAGGGCCAAGGAATCCACGGGACCAGACTGAAGACAGCTCGAGAAGGGAAAAGAAGTACAAGACCGAAGCCAAATGCCAACGAGCGCGCAAATCCTCAGCAATCAAGGATGCCGAAAGGGTAAGAACCTGCACAGGCAGGTGCACAAGGCCAACATCCTGAGAAAACACAGGGGCAAACAAGCAAGTACTAAGGTGCTCAAATTTGCCCCCCCCAGGTAAATCTGCAGAATGGTATAAGTTTCTCGCCACTCAAGCGTACGGGTCTGAAAGAACCCATGCCATGCCCCAGTGAAAAGAATGGGCAGTCTGTCAGCCAGGAAGACTCCGGAACCTCCAAACGCACCCAATATGGGGAAGAAGACCCAAACTCAAATAAGGACGGATCCATCATGGTGGCGGAATCTGGGCCTCGCAGCAGCAAAAACCCCTACGGAAATGGCGTCCCGAATGCGCCAGGGAAGGGAACCCTAATACGGAAGGACAGTACTCACAGGGCACCTAAGGAAGGATGCAAGCCTCGGTCCTGATGAGGACACCTGGCCACCACACACAACAACAATGCAGAGGACGCCACAGAGGCAAAACACCGCCTTAGGAAATCGAAGGCAGAGAAGACATCTGCCCCGGACCATATTAGCTAATGAACTGAAGTGCTAAATAGCCAGCACAGGGAGGGTAGGGCTGCACGGACGAGTGGCGCTGTATTGGAGTGTGACGTTTGCCCGTTTCCTTGGGATTGGAGGAAGTTCTGCCACTCTTTTCGGTTTTTATTGCATTTTTTTTTTACCATGTGGGCTTTGTTTTGTAATCCTACCTTTCTGGGTGCCTAACCCTGGTCGATGGCAGATAAGGAAAATCCCCAACCATAGGGGAGTTTTTCCAGGGCCATTGCTCCTGAAATCTCTCTAAGGGGGTCAGGTTCTGGCTCATGGTCCCCGGTAGGCTGAACTCCACATAGACTAATGCCCCAGACTAATATATCACACATTAGCCAGATAGCTCCAGAGAGCCATAGGGGGCTCCCCACAGAAAAGACATGCTCATTTCATATTGCAATATAACCTCGTGATCAGATATACCTGAATTGCAGATCTCAACTTGAAAAAAACTGAAACAAATATACCACTGATAAAGAATAGTTCTTAGTTTAAAAATATTGTACCAAGTTAACATTTACAGTGTATGTGTGAAATCAAATGTAACAAGTAGTTGACATTTGCTATGTAAGTAAGTACAAACCAATTTCTGTCAGACTCACCACAAAAGATAAGAATAATGAGCAAAACAGTCAGAATTACACACATTCCACCTTGATTTTAAAATGAGAAATTGCAAAACAAAGACACTCAAGATAAAGTCTTACAAAAGATCACAGAGGACATTGAAACAATGCTAATGAAAATAAATTTTGCATAATACTAGTGGAAACTAGGATGAGTGTGTGAATATAAACTCAATTACAAAATATACAAGTACCCTTGTATATGTGTACTTAGATGCAGGCAGAAGCAAGCCTTCAGGTGTCAATCAATCACATATTTTGTTGATCTACTCAACAAAAACACAAGAAATGCTGGCATGATGACGGCAACACTAGTAATAAGACTAGCAGTAATGCGTTGCTTTCATGCATGTGATAAAATACCAGTACCAAAATAAACAAAATTATTTTTTTTGACGACATTTGGAAAGCGCATGTAGTGAAAGTAATACAAGTACCAACACTGCATTCAAAACAGGAACTAAACCCAACAGCCTGCAGTGTTACCAGCATGCTACAGTGTATGTTGTTCCAATACGGTGGCCACAGTTGCCACACTTCCTTAGGACTGCTAAACACCCTTCTCTGACAGAATTCCTCCCCACACACACACACACAACAAAGGGAGACAGCACAGATACAGAGAAACCTTCTATTGTCTTTCCAAATTTACGAACATTACTCATTTCTCCCAGAATGCTGACATCATTACGTCAAGTAATGGATGAACAGAAAATGACAATAGTATGGGGGGGGTATCATCACATGTTGTAAGGCAGTGGGGTTGTCTTAACAAAACACAGTTACCAAGCAGTCAACTGACAGATCATTAGTTTTAACAACCGAGTCTATACCATGCTTTCTCACCTTTAGATGGCCTTTTAATAACATCTTACATCACATTATCAAATAATACCTGTGTTTCACATTTCTTTGTATCTAACAAAATTTGAATTTATGGAAATGAAAATCAGCCACAATAATATTACAGAACACTTAATACAAAGACAAATTTATTAATATTAGTCAAAGTATGATTCTTTTTGTAACTTTGAGATAAAAAGATAATGTCTCTCGTGAAAAAAAAGCTATAATTAATGAAATCAATTCAACAACTTACCATACACAGACACAGAAATTTAAGATTATATGCAGAACGTGAAACTCAAGTGTGAACAAGTCAGTTAATCATCTACCTCAATTTAAACATTTATATATATATATATATATATATATATATATATATATATATATATATATATATATATATATATATATATATATATATATATATATATATATATATATATATATATATATATATATATATATATATATATATATATATATATATATATATACATTTATATATGTAAAATCTTTTTTCTACTTAATTAAGTGCCTTACTCTTCACCTTCACTTGCTGGTGAGCCTTCATCACTCTCAGATATACTCGAAACATCATCATTTTCTGTTGAGATAGGAGCCTCAGGTACTTCTGGGATACCACTTGCCTTCAACTTTATCTTCAATTTTTTCAGGTGTTTCAGCAATATACCATACTGAAAACGACCTCGCCTCTCTCCAAAAGGATCCTGAAAATTAGTAGTGCTATGAGAACAAAACTGAAAAAATTCACAAAATATTAACAAAGCTATCTACAACTTAACATAAAACCCTTTATAAAAAACCCAGCGTTGAATGTAATGAAACACCATTTTCTGGATGAGCCCCGGAGGCTCCCCGGAGCTTACTGGGCTGATATGTATGTACAGGACATTAAACCGTGGCATCAGTCATTTGGAGTTTTGCCTACTGGGGACCACGAGCCAGAACCTGGGCCCCTCAGAAGCACGAAGAGCAATGGTCAATGGAAACCCCCATGTCTGCCATCAACCAGGGGTCTGGCACCCAGAATGGTAGGTGTAACAAAACAAACCCCACATGGTAAAAAAACAGCGTTGAATGTAATGAAACGTCATTTTCTGGGCGAGACCCTGGAGGCTTCTCGGAGCTATCCAGTCTGATGTGCATATCGTTAGACTTCGGCATTAGTCAGTGTGAATGGAGCTCTAGGTCTACCGGGGACCACGAGCCAGAACTTATCCCCCCCCCCCCCCCCCCGAGAGGCACAAGGAGCAATGGTCTATAGAAATGCACATGGGATTTGGAGCATTCTATGTCTACCATCGACTGGGCCAGGCACCCAGAAAGGTGGCGCTTTAAAACAAACCCCCCTATTCTGGTTAAAACTACAAAAATAGACTAACGATTGGACAGAACTCCTCAATTGAAAACGAGCAAACAAATATGACATCACACGTGCTGCGCCGCATGTCTGCACAGCTCCCTCTTCCCCGGGAGGGGGAAGGAGGAGCCCCAGACCCCCGTGCCAGTGATCCACCCTCCAGTTTGAGGCTGGATTTTAAAACTTGAGAAAAAAACGTCGACTGGAGGGAGGTTGTCGGGGAGCCTCTGGGTCTTACCCAGAAAATGGCGTTCATTACATTCAACGCTGGTTTTCTGGGGGGAACCCCTTAGGTTCCCCGGAGCTACTTCACTAAAGATGAACACTAGAGGGACTTACCCAGGAGGCAGTCAGTGCTCACACCTCAACTCGAAGTCGTGACTACAGGCTGCAACCGCCAACCCAAAGCAACACAGGCCTGACTAGGCCCAGGAACATTTATGAGGTAGTGTGCAGCCAGGATCCTCTTTGACCACCAAAGACCCCGTGCACAAATGTCTGCCAATGACATGTTTCCGGAGACGGCAGCAAGTGCAGCAAACTTATTAACGTCATGGGACTCCCTGAACACTCTAGGAACAGACAGGAGGAACAGACTCCCTGTACCTCTATCCCCCTCGCGGGGGATAGACAGCAGGCGGGCTAGACCGAACAACCCTGAGGACGAATTGAGAGACCCGAACCCGAGAAAAGGGAAGAAGGGAAACCTGATCAACCCAAAGCGCGCTCCCAGTCACAGAGGCCATGGCAAGCAAATAACGGAGGAGAGTTGCAACCGGACACACCACATGATGCATCCACGGCCTGTCCAACCAAGCAACAACAACCCAAGGACCCCCTCCGGAAAGCAGCAGTCTTATTCTTCATCGGAAAAGAAGGAGACGACTGCAAACGAACAAACCTATCACCCCGTCCAAAAGAGCATCCGGGGTGGTCCGGACTGTGGTGGGTATGTGGGCCTGCGGGCCGCTCCAAGCAACAGCCTAGTGGACCAAACTCTCACAAGAAAAGCCTGGCCTCGGGGTGGGCTTGGGGAGTAGAAGAACTCCCAGAACCCCATCAACCAGGTATTAGCATAAACCCCTGCGCCGGAGGAGAGCAAGAAGCTCCCCAACCTGACCCCCAGAAACCAATGCCAACAAGAAAAAGAGCCCTAGAAAAACAATCCTGAACTGAAGGGGCCACAACAAACCGAGGAGAAGACAGAAAAAAGAGCACTCTGTCCAAAGACCAGGACGGCTCAGGTGGCACATAAGCAGGCCGGAGGTGAAACAAAGCATGAGAAAGCTTATGGAACAGGGTGGAAGTAACATCCACCCCAAACGCAAGCTGAAGCGGCTCCGCCAGCGCTGCACGATATGAGGTGACAGTATTAGGCATCAAATGGTGGTCCTGAAAAAGCCAAGAAAGAAAGGACAAGACATCCCTATCTGAAACAGAGGACAACCTATGAAGAGAGAGAAAATGGCAGAAAGAGCGCCAGGAAACTTCATACTGTCACTGAGACAAAGTTCGCAGGTGGGACACCATCAATATCAATGATGCCACCCGATCACCATATAAATGGTGATAGACCCGCGTCAGAAACACCAGACGCGAAAAGAGGAAGAGAAGACCGAACCAGCCAGGTACTTGACTGCGGCCGATCTGCTGAAAAAGTCGGAGCCGCGGAAAACATCGCAGGTTCAGATACCGAGCAAGCACCTGAAACCAAGGCTGGGCCGGTCACCAAGGAGCCAACAGGACTAGTCTCCCCTGTTAAGTCTCCAACCAAGCCAGGACTCGAAGTAACAGCTGGACTGGGGAATAGAGGTACGGCTAACCCTACCTTGACCAGTCCTGCTAAAGGCGTCCACTGCGACGGCCTCGCAGTTGGGGAAGGGCACCACATAGACAGGAAGATGCCAGGACCACACCGATGCAGAGAGATCCACATCCGGGATGACTGCCGAATTCCTTGTCCGAAACTCGGGAAGGAATCACACCTCGATGAGCTCCGCGATGCAATTCCAGCAGAGCCAACTGAAGAAGTCGGGGTCAACCGTCCATTCTGTGTTAAGGGGAATGAAATGAGACAGGCCGTCCGCAAGATCATTGGACACCCCCTGGACTTGAACCAAACCCTGAGAATCCAGCAGACGTGACGCTCGAAGAAACCAGCCCTAAAGAGCCAAGGACTGAAGAGTTCCCGCACGGTTCAGGTACTGAACCACCGGGAAACAGTCCGAATGGAGTCGGATCGTAGAACCCTGAGAATGTAGAACCCAATCACCCAGAAGCACCCGCCAAACAGCCACAAACTCCCGCACCGTGCTGTGAGCCCAACAAAAGGATGGAGCCCACCACACCTGGCCGGCTTGGTGAGCACTGGTCACAAAGCCCCAGCCGAGAGACAAGGCATTCGTGAACACATCAAATGGGTAGGCGCCATGGCACTGAACCCCAAAAAACCCGAAGAGGAAGCCGGCGACACAGCAACCGATGCAAAGCCCCCCGGAGGCTGAACCTAACGATTGTGAAAGCAGCAGAAGGTTTTCTGGTTCCCCGAAGGAACCAGAAAAGCCGTCGAAGCCAAATCTGACCCGGCGGGTAAACCAGCACAACAAACTGTATTAGCCTGTACCATGCGAGTGTGTGGTTTAGTCAACATTTTTCAGCCATGTTATTGTGACTCATCACCACTATGAAGTTCAGACTCCCGCACAGCTGCTCGAGTAACCTCCGAGTGACCCGCATGCTCTCCCAAAACAGGCTAAGGTGAGACTACAATCGCAGCAACGACGCCGGAAGGAGAGACAAGAAAGTGGTCCGAGAGTCCCACACAAGATCCAGCCAAGTCTGAACCCGGGACGAAATCAGATGGGACTTCCTCTGGTTCACCAGGAACCTGAACCCGGCGAGTTAGGAAATAACTACACCACCGGTGAGCAGACACAAGCTGGCTGGTAGCCCACACCAGCCAGTTGTCAAGGTAAGCCAGAACCTAAACACCTAACAGACGCAAATGGGTCACCGTGACCCGGGTGAGATGCATGAATACACGAGGTGCCAGATTCAGGCCAAATGGAAGGCAGCGAAAGCAGCTCCACCATAAAACCTAACCAGTCCCTGAATCCCGGACGAATCAGGACATGCCAATATGCATTCCAGACGTCCAGACACCATCCAAGCACCTGGCTCCAAAAGTAGCCAGATCTGGGACAGAGTTGTCATCCGAAAAGAGGGGCAAAAATCCAGTGGTTCAGACAGGACATGTTCAGAATGAATCCGCAGTCTCGTTTCGGGGCTGGAAACAACAGAAACCCACCTGAGGGATGCGGTCCTTTTGACCACACCCAAGCGCACCCACTCTGAGATGAACCGATGGAACGCAGGGGAAGAGGCCTGCCTCGCCAGCCCTGAACCCTCCTCCTCCCCCCCCCCCCCTGGAAGGAGGAGGAGCCACCCAACACCACCAGAGACTGGAAGAGACAACCCAAAATGTCCATGAATTATGGGACCAGGTGTCCCATGCCTGGGGGATGTATATGTGTATCGGAGTGCTAAACATGTCCTCATACTGCTTTTTTAGGATTTCACTAATTTCTTCGTCATCCTCAGTGTATGAACCTTCACTAATACAAATAGGTCCAATACTGGCAGTGGTTTTCACTTTTGATTTTGCATATGTAAAGAAATATTTGGGTTTTTCTTTATTTCTTGAATTGCTTTCTGTTCTAGTTGCCTTTCTTCAGTCTGATAGGAATGCTTCAGTCTCTTCGATTTCTTCAATCTCCCTGTTTAAATTATTTCTTCTTAGTATGGAGAGTTGTGTCTGCTTAAGTCAAAACAACTCCCTGAACAATTCAAAACAACGATTGAAACTTTCAAAACTATCTCGAACTCATTTTCTGGGAAAGCCCCCGCAATACCTCCCCTGATACTACCAAACCACGGAAAAGAAAAACAGGGACTTACCTGAGGAGGAGAAGAAATGGCAAGTACTTAAACAAAGGAGACAGCTGGGAAACATGGCCCAAACAGGGACCAGACACAAAAACAACATGGAGCCAGTACGACAGAGGACTAGAATGTCAAGATATAAAAGCACTACATACAGATAACTAGAAAGTGAACCAAAGAGCCCCATTTCAATCCCTATAGATACTGGTAAGTAATTATTACAAACTTTTTACACATGTACGTATCAAAATACTTACATCCATTGTCTGTCCATCTCTGTGTTTATTCTTCTCACAGATTTCAACATAATGGTCAAAATACTCCATAAATGATGCCTGCATGACCTTGAGGAGGTCAGGTGGGGCAGTGGTAATGCCTTCGAGCTGCTGTATGACGGCAACCCTGATGGTCTCATGCATGATGATGGAGTTATAACGTTCACTGTCTCCAATGTTATGTTCCTGGAGAAGAAACCTACATTTATTATTGTCACCGAGGCAACAGATATCTCACGAACAATGTTTTACAGCATCACTTATTTGCTGACAAATGGGGAAATACAGAACTTCTGGGCTGTCCCCAGTAAACTGGGCTTGGATACCATACTGACACATACAATGCTATCCGGCCTCTGAACTTGTGCAGGCTCACTCAACACCAGGACCATAATCTGGTGACCTGGGGATCAGAGATTAACTTCATACACACTAAGAAAAATGTACACAAATGAGGTAAAACATCACATACTGTATTGATTAACGAAAGAAAAAACTAGCGTTGAATGTAATGAAATGCCATTTTCTGGGTGAGACCCGGAGGCTCTCCGGAGCTATCCAGGCTGATATGCTAATGTTAGACTTTGGCATCAGTCATGTGTATGGAGTTCTGTGGGCCTACCGGAGACAACGAGCCAGAACCTGGCCCGACCTCAGAAGAAGCACGAGGAGCAATGGCCTATAGAAACCCCCCTGTGTGGTTGGAAGCATTCAATGTCTGCCATCGACTGAGTCAGGCACCCAGAAAGGTAAGCGTCCCAAAACAAACCTCTAATCTGGTGAAAATTGTGACAAAAAGCCGAACAAGTGTACAGAACTCCCCAAGCAGAAACGGGCAAACGAGTATGACGTATTGCCCCCGCACCGGCAATCCACCTCTCAGTTATCAGGCTGGACATCAAAACACATGAAAAACCGGGGAGATGGAGGGTTGCCGGGGAGCCTCTGGGTCTCGCCCAGAAAATGGCCTTTCATTACATTCAACGCTGGGTTTCTGGGGGGGGAGCCCCCTTTGGCTTCCCGGAGCTACCTACCCAAAGACGAAAAAAAGAGGGACCCAACCCGGGAGGCGAAAGATGCACACCCCCCCAACGCGAATCGGAGACAAAAACTGCAACTGCCAACCCAAGGCCACACAGGCCCGACAAGGCCCCTGGAACATCAACAAAGGAACGCAAAGCCAACCAATGAACGAGATGAGCACGGGGACAGACAGCAGGCTGGCAGGACCAAACCACCCCACGAACGACCCAAGAGAACCACACCCTGGAACAGGGAAGAGGGGAACTCGGAACAACCCAAAGCGTGACCCCAGTCACGGCAGCCGTAGCACGCCAAGCACGGCGCAGTACCGCAACTGAAAAAACACATGATGCACCCCCGGCCAGACCAACCAAGCATCAAACAACCCAAGGACCCCTCCTGAAAGCGGCCGTGCCAGTCTTCGCCAGAAAAGAAGGAGACGGCCGCAAGCGAACAAACCTATCAGGAGAACCAAAAGCGCCGATACCTAGGCGCCGAAGGAGGGCATGAAGCACTCCAACCCGACCCCCAGAAGCCAATGCCAACAAGAAAAGAGCCTTGGAAAACAATCAAGAACCGAGGGGGCCACAACAAACCGACGAGAAGAGAAAAGAGCACCCAATCCAAGAACCAGGATGGCTCAAGGGGTGCAAGAGCAGGCCGGAGGTGAATCACGCCAGAGACAGCTCGCAAATTGGTGCCGAGGCAACTTCCAAAACCAAAGCAACCCGAAGCGGCTCCGTCAGCGCCGCATGAGACAAGGCGACAGTACAGTATGTGGCAAAATGGCGGCCCTAAACCTCCACAAGAGAAGGACCAGACCACGCCAAGAAAACATAGCAAACCGACAAAGGGACAGAAAGAAAAAGGAAGGACTGCCAAAGAAAATCCCACACCGCCGATAAGATGAAGCACGCAGGTGGGACACCATCAACGAAGCCACCTGACCACCAACAGATACTTGAGGCAGAACCGAACCAGTGCCGCCATGGACCGATCAAGCATAGGAAGAGGTGGAGCCGCGGGAAAACCTCGGGTGCGACCACCAAGCAAGCAGAGTCGGAACCCAAACTGGCAAAGAATGAGAAGTAACGTCTGCCATACAGAAAACTTCCCAATGCTAGCGAGCTCGCCAGGGGATCGGAGACACTGTGGTTCCGATGCGAGACTCGTGAGAAATGACACCACGAGATCCGGAAAATGCCAACTGGCAGGGTAAGCCAGGAAACCAGGATCCCAAATCTGGCAAGCCGGGAAAGAAGGCACGAACGTGTCACGACACAACGTAGACGAGAGGATTCCGGGAGCACCGCCAGAGGAAGGCCAGAACTGCACCTGCAGGAGAAGAGTAGGGTAGAGGCAAATAAGGCACCCCACACCCATATGCAGGGAAAACTCAGCGTCCTCCCCATAGCGGCAATCCAGAACACCCCCAGCATCTACAGGGCATGGATTGGAGAGACGAAGCACCTGAGAGAAAAAGGACGCAGAACACCAGCACTTGTGTACACCGTCCATAACAAAAACTCCCACGGCACATGCGCAGGATGCATAAGGCCCGAACCGCACAACCCAGCCCAGCGGGGAGGGCACCAACAAGGAGTATTGCAAAAATATTAGCAGTGCCTGGACAGAGCACAGAAAGAAGATATAATGACAAAAGAATCAGACAGTATCGAAAACCAAGAAGAAGACCGGAAGAGGACCAAAGAGTCTAAAAAGGACTGGAGGAAAGCCTCACAGGAAGACAACAGACATTCCAAGAATCGAAGACCTCCTGAACCCCCGGGATCTCACAGAAGCAAACAAAATCACAAAGGCTCATAAAGGCACAGTCGCACCCGAGACCAAAAGTCATGCAGAACCCCAATAATAGGGGAACATGACCCCTGACATGACGGAGAAGTCCTGTCCCAGAGAAAAGGGGGGAGAACCAGAGAAAAGTACTAACCGATATAACGGAACCAAACGGAACCGAAGGGACAAGGATCCAAACCCGGGGAGGGGCCGACGCCCAACAACTCGTACGCATAGGGGGGAAGGAAAAAAAACAGCGTTGAATGTAATGAAATGCCATTTTCTGGGTGAGCCCCGGAGGCTCCCTGGAGCTTATCGGGCTAATGTATGTTATATTAGACCGGGATATTAGCTATGGAGTTCAGACCTACCAGGGACCATCGCCAGAACCTGGCCCCTTCAGAGAGGTTTCAGGGAGCAATGGCCCTGGAAAACCCCCTTGTGGTTAGGGGTTTTTCCTTATCTACCATCGGCCAGGGTTAGGCACCCAGAAAGGTAGGCATAACAAAATGAACCCTACATGGTAAGAAACTAAAACCAAAAATGAACATAGAGGTAGAAACTCCATACAACCCCAAGGAAACAATTAAACATCACACTTTACTGCTGCGCCAATTGTCTGTGCAGCCCTCCCTGCCCTGAGAGGGGGAGGGGGGGCCCTGGACCTCACCGTGCCAGCTGCCTAGCACCAGTTTGGAAGCTAAGCTTCAACCAACGTGAAAAAAATGCTGACCGGTGGGAGGTAGGGTTGCCAGGCACCCTCTGGGCTCACCCAGAAAATGGCGTTTCATTACATTCAACGCTGGTTTTCTGTGGGGAGCCCCTACGGCTCCCTGGAGCTTCATACCCAAAGAGAAGGAAAAGAAAGGACTGTCCTGGGAGGCGGCCGCTACAAACTCTGCAACGCGAAGTTGAGACAACAGGCAGCAACCTGCAACCCAAAGCAACACAAGAACACACAGGAGCAGACACTCACAAATGAACGGGCGGCCAGGAACCTGTGCGACCTCCAAATCCACACGCCTGAATTGAGCTCAAGACGTCACCAAACACGGCAGCGAAAGCTGCAAACGTCAGAATGGCACGGGCGCAAGGATAAACCGCAGGCTGGTAGACTAAAGAAAACTGCAAACGACCTGGGAGACCCGAGCCCTGAAACAGAGAATGAGGAGATCCGGATCAACCCAAAGTGCATCCCCAGCCACGGCACGCAAGTAACGGCGAAGAGCCGCAACCAGACAACACATGTCGCACCCCTGGCCAAACCAACTAAGCATCAATAACCAAGGACCCCTCCGGAAAGCAGCCGTCTCGACCATCACCAGAAGGACAGAGCAAGGCTGCAAGCGTACAAACTTACCACCAGTACAAAAAGAGCAGAAACCTCTGCGCCGGAGGAGAGCCGGAAGCTCCCCGACCCACAGAGGTCAATGCCAACAAAGTATGGCCCTTGAAAAACAATCTTGAACTGAAGGCGCTACCACAAACTGAGGAGACGAAGGATAAAAGGGCACCCTGATCAAGGACCAGGACGGCTCAGGCGGTGCATGAGCAGGCCGGAGGTGAAACAACACGAGAAGCGTACGGAACGGGGCGGATGTGACGTCCACCCCGAATGTAACCCGGAGCGGCTCCCCCAGCACCGCACAATACGAGACGACAGTAAGAAGCATCAATTAACAGTCCTGAAAAAACCAAGGAAGGAGAAGACAACCTGATGCGTAAGAGAAGACAACCTACGAAGAGCAAGAAAATGGCGAATAGAAATGCCAGGAACGTCATACTGTCGCCAAGACGAAGCTTGCAGGTGGGACACCATCAACTAAGCCACCTGATCACCATAGAAATGGTGATACACCCGCGTCAGCAGAGCAGACGCGAAGAGCCGAGGAGAAGGCCGAACCAATCTGACCTGCCGAAAGAGGCGAAGTTGCGGGAAACGCCCCGGGGTTCGAACACCTATCAAGCAGCATCTGAAAAAAAAGCTGGGCTGGCCACCAAGGGACCACGAGAACTACTCTCCTTGGGAAGGACTCCAACCGAGCCAGAACCCGAAGCAACAGCTGGACCGGGAGAAGAGGAACAGGTAACTCCACCTCGACCAGTTTTGCCGAAGGCATCCACCGTGAACGCCTTGCAGGCGGGTAAGGGCGCCACATAGAATGGGAGACGCCGAGACCACGCCAACACAAAGATGTCCATGTCCAGGAGTCCGTACGTCTGGCAGAGCCAACGAAACGAGTTGGCAACGACCGGCCAAACTGTGAACAGAGGAATGAACCGAGACAGGCTGTCCGTCAGGACGTAGGACACCCCCGGACATGAAATGCACAGCTAGCCAAACCCCGAGGATCCAGCAGACGAGCCACTCGAAGGGACCAATCCCAAAGGTCAAGGACCTAAGAGAATTCCCATGGTTCCGGCAATGAACCACCAAAAAACAGTTCGAATGGAGCCGGATGGGAGAGCCCCGAGTGACCCTAACCCTCCGAAGCGCAAACCAGACAGCCACAAATTCCCGAATCGTGCTGTGAGCCCGACAGACGGACGGACCCCACCATCCCCCGCTGACCTGGTGAGCACTGGCCACAAAGCCCCAGCCAAGAGATGACCCCTCCGTGAACACATCAAGCGAAGGCTCAGGGAGGCACCAAGGCACTAAACCCTGATAACCCCAATGAGGAAGCCAGTGACGCAGCACCAACACAAGATCCCCGGAGGATGAACCCAACGATTGTGAGAGGCGGAAGGGGAGTCTCTGAAGGAACTGAACAAATGCCGAAGCCAAACCCAATCCATCGGGCAGACCAGCATGGCAAAGTTCAAACTCCCGCACAACCGCTCGAGCAACCGCCAAATGACCAAGGATCCCCCCCTCATAAACAGCCGAGGGCGGGACCACAGCCGCAGCAATGCTTTTGGAGGGAAAGACAAAGAGGTGGTCCAAGAGTCCTAAACAAGACCCAGCCAGGTCCGAACCCGGGACGGAACCAGATGGAGTGGCCTCCAGATCACCAGGAATTCGAACCCGGCAATCTGGAAAGAACCACACTCCTGGCAAGCAGACAAGCGGACCGACTGGGAGCCCACACCAGCCAGTCATCGAGGTAGGCCAGAAACCGAATCCCGAGCAGACACAGACAGGTCACCAAGATCCAGTAAAGATGCGTAAATACACTAAGTGCCAATGACAAACTAGGGAAGGCAACAAAAGCGGCAAGCCTGAAGCCCCACCACCAACCGTGCCAGTCCCGGAACCCTGGAGACGAACGTGCCAAGAAGTGACCCGGAGGGCCAGGGACACCATCCAGGCACCCGGCCCCAACAGAAGCCGGACCGGAGATAACAGTCTTCCGAAGAGGGCAAAGAATCCAGGGCGCAGACTGCATAAGTCCAGAAGAACCGCAAGGCCCATGTCTGCACTAGAACAGGTGGGAACCTCGGAAGGATGGGGCGGAACGACCACATCCAAACGCACCCACACCAAGATGACATGACGAAGCGCAGGGGAAGCAGCACACCCCGCCAGCCCCGAACTTCCCAAAAGGGGAGAAGCCGCCTGACGCCACCAGAGGCCGGAAGGGGGGGGGGGGGCCAGGTTCTGGCACGTGGTCCCCAGTAGGCCCAAAGAGCTCCATACACATGACTGATGCCAAAGTCTGACATTAGCATATCAGCCTGGATAGTTCTGGGGAGCCAACGGGGCTCCCCCCAGAAAATAGGTAAAATGGGTTAAAGACCATTGTTCAATGTAATGAAACGCCATTTTCTGGGTGAGTCCCGGAGGCTCCCCGGAGCTATCCCAAATTGATATGCTAATGTCAGACTTTGGCATCAGTCATGTGTATGGAGTTCTTAGGCCTACCAGGGACCACGGCCAGAACCGGGCCCCCCTCAGAGAGGCAAGGGGAGCAATGGCCTATAGAAACCCCCGTGTGGTTGGAAGCATTCTATGTCTGCCATCGACAGGATCAGGCACCCTGAAAGGTAAGCGCCTCAAAACAAACCCCCTATTCTGGTTAAAATTGCTACCAAAAGCCAAACTAGTGGACAGAACTCCCCAACAGAAAACAAGCAAACTAGTGTGATGTCACACGTCGCCACGCCGCTGTCTGCGCAGCTCCCCCCTTCCCGGGAGGGGGAAGGGGGAGCCCCAGACCCTTCACGCCGGCTACCTACACCTCAGTTCTTGAGGCTGATGCTATAGGCGAAGGTCGTGTGCTCTGGCTCCGGTTTCGCTACAGCACTGTGCTTCGTGTGTGGTGTTTGTTTTCTGTGGGTGCGAGAACCAGGAGTTATCTTCAGTAATCGGGCTGCATGCGTCTAGGGCTGCCTTCCCTAGGTGCCCCGTAAGTACTGCCCTTGGGGCTTGGGGCCACCTTCCACAGGCTCCTCGGGACCTGCCTCTGCTGGTCCGTTCTACCGTTCAATTTTTTGGCCGTCTATTGGGTTCTTGGGTGTTCTGTTCTCCCTTGTTACCTGCAGGTAAGAGGCAGTTTGCACTGGTTGGGGCGCAGGGTGCTGCGCAGCTTTGTATTCCCGACATAGCGGCTGGCTCTGTTTCTTAAGGTTCGCTGTCCTCTTGCGGGGTTTTGTTTTTCTTTGTTTTTCAGAGCTAATGTCAGACTTTGACATTAGCATATCAGCCTGGGATAGCTCCGGGGAGCCGACGGGGCTCCCCCCAGAAAAGGCAGTTTTGTTATGGTAAATATCCCTTGTCTACTAAATATGCATGCCAACAGGTAGCCAAACATGTTACCCACAGAGTACAGCCAGCAAACACCCTCAGTCATATACCTGGCACCAACTATGACATTACCTGTATCTAAACCGGCACTAGGCTCTTTTCTATGTGGTATTCGCATTTCTTTGGACATTGTTATTCAGTGTGGAGGCCGTGCTTCTGGTTTAATTTCTAGTTCTTAAAAGACTAATTGCATGCATTTAATGTGTAGGAAGTTTGCATAAGTGTTTAGAATGAGATTGTACTCTTACTCATTCTCTCTCTCTCTCCTGGCCCTTGGGTGCCATCTGGCTGTTTGACAATACTCAGAGAGAGATGCAAAAGTACTCTATTTCCATTAACAAGAAGTTTACATTTAGGCTAACCAAAACCATTATTTTAGCAAAACACTAAATTCATGCATAGCTACATAGAAAAAACCCAGACACATGCATTCTCAACTGCTTTCCATTTACCATACAAATTCATATTCTAGATACTACCTAAGTGCACTTGATGTGTAAAGTGCAAATATCTCCTAAATATACCACTTTAGGCTGTACGCAATATATAGATGATCATTTCTCCCAATATTTACATGTCTGTAATCTACTAAATACATATTTCCAAAAACACTATGGTAAAAATGCATTCTCTATCTGCATCAGTGTGCCTAAATATGTAGACAAAGGACAACATGCAGAATCTCTACCGAGCACTCTGGCTATTGTCCTTATCTATGCTCCACCTTTTTTAATATTGGCAATAGAAGCAACTTGTTTAAGTATGAATTCTTTTTCAATAATCTCGCTATATTTTATTATAATTTTGAACTTTTTGCAGCTACTTAGTAGAGTGCAGCTTCTCATTTGTAACTCCTGCCCAGCACATAAAGCTGATATCCATTACTCTGTTCTTCAAGTTGCCAAACTGGCTGTGTTCTAAGCTTAAAAGGTCAAGATGGGAGCATCGAGTCTAAATTTTTTATGATACAGTATAGCATTCCTTTCTGACTAATACATTTTCTGCCACTCATTTCCTCTTTAATCCACTCACCCTTCTCACTACACACACAGAACAGTCCCTAGATTCCTCCCAAAACATATCAACCCCTCTATACTCTCTTCTATAAATTTATTCAGCCTTACACTCACCATCTCTTCATACTTCCTTTCTTCTAATCCCTCAACTTGTGAATTCACTTGAATCATTGCTAATAATGGTACCAAGACCCATTACCTCTTCATAGCCAGGTTCGTTGTGGTATGGGCGTTCATTCATGAGAGACTGGAGAGATAACAACACACTCGAGAGATTGGAGGCCGGACTCCACGCTGGACCTGACCAAGTACTGCAAGAGTAAGATGAGAGATACATTATTCCAATTTATACAAGAACTGTGCATCTACCACTAATACTTTTTAAGACCTGCTTATACTGCTGCTACCAAAAGGAATATAGGTACAGTACATCCAGCACACCTAGAAAACTCTCAGTATGTCACACAAGCAATATATGGGATCAGCTCCATAGGGACAAGCATTTTTGCAGGGCCATGAAGAGTACTTGAGTTACTGCAAGCCATTTTCAGTCAGTTGCAAGCAAAATTTACCAGATTATAACATTTGATGAATGTTATATGAGTCTTCATGATTCTTCTCTAGTTAAAAAATCACATCACCAACTTGATAGACAGTTGGAACAAACTGGTTTTAAAATTAGGCAGAAATGAGATGCAAACATGCTGTCACAGTTGCCTTTCCTACATGCAAGATGTCCAACTTTAATCAGGTTGTACAACACTGTACTTTTAACAGACATAGGGATGGTAGTCCATGTTAGTCATTCAAAGATCAACCAATTTCCACTTCTGAAACTTCAAGCGCCCATAAGACTACATTTAAACTTGAATGGGGGAAAGTTTTGAGACCACACCTTTCGGTGGGGTCGAGCATCGTCATAACAGCAGCAAGAGGTGCCTGGACAGGCTGTGCAAAAAAAAATTATCTCCATATTTTAATCCCTATGTTCATGGAATTTTTCACATTGTGTTGTTCCAAGTTAAGAACCTGATATCAAACACCACTTCTTACTACTGTGGTCGTGGTGGTAGTTTTCAGGCTGGTACAACCCAGGTTTTGATACTGATCTCTAGCTCACCATTTATTAAACTAGGAAATGTTTAGTCATATTAGATCCTCCTATATTGGTGAAACCCAACTGGTGTTTAAATACAGTATGGTGTTGACTTACCTATGCTTAGAGAAATTTAGAGTGTCTCCTTTTAGTGACATCACGTGGATTGGATTATATACAGAAATTATGGTTATATAATAGACAATGTGTTCCCACAATCTTATGAGATTACTGGTATTTCTGGGGGGGGAAGCCACCCGTCGGCTCCCCAAAGCTATCCAGGCTGATATGTAACCATTAGCTTTCTGGCATCAGTCAAAGTGCAAAGAGTTCTTGCCTACCGGGGACCACGAGTCAGAACCTGGCCCCCTCAGAGAGGCACGAGGAGCAATGACTTATAAAAACCTACGTGCCAGACCTGGTCGATGGCAGACAATGCTCCCAACCACATGGAGATTCTATAGGCCATTGCTTCTCATGCCTCTGAGGGGGGGCCAGGTTCTGGTTTGTGGGCAAGAACTCCATGCACATTGACTGATGCCAGAAAGTTAAACATATCCATTCAGCCTGGATAGCTCCAGGTAGCCGACGAGGCTCCCCCCAGAAAACAGATGAAAACATTGATGTTGATAGAGGTCATTAGTGTGGCAGATATAAACAGCTAGGAGGCGGGGCATCAAGAGTTAGGTCTCACTCCACAGTAGCATGATAGGTAAGCACTGATAGGTATGCACACACACTACACACTATTTTAAATTAAGGTATTCCTGCAATGTACAACTTTACCATATCTGGAAACTTGATTATTTCTTTTGCATGTTATTTAGCTCATAACACATTTGTATTTAAAACTCCATATCCCAGGAATGCAATTATAGTGTTATAGAAGTGATGTTATAGAAGTTATATAGTGTTATAAAGACTATAAATGGGATCCCACGTACCCCAAAATGCTGAGGCAAACTTTGCCATTTTTGTAGAGATTGGGATTGAATCTAACCGAGTCTCCTCCAGTCGTCAATAGTCGCACTCTGGGTGGGTGAAGAGGGTACTGTGGGCCAAACCGGACAAGAAAATGGAAGAATCCTCCCTCATATGGTGTATCAAATGGCCCAATGATAAGGCAGTGAACTTTGAATAGGTTGTCTTCCTCAGGCGCTGCAAAAATCCCCGGCAAAGGCTCAGTAAAAATACTGCTGAGGTCCCTGAAATTATGGTACACATTTAAACTTCCTAACATAAGGAGAATAATAAGCTAGCTTGAAAAAAATAATTAACGTTCAAGCCAACAATAAGTGCACTTTTAAACTGTAAATACACAGCTCTTAGACTACACACATTTGTCATCGTCACTTGAAATGTGAGTACGAACTATCATCTAACATAAAAAACCAGAGCAAATAGCTAGAGAAAAATATGCAACTTTTCACATGTTTGAAGACACAAACAACATTTATAAAGGGAAGGATCTGAATATCTACAAATAATTAGACATCTCACAATTCAAACAATCATAAAGACTGAATATTGTTAACAGACATGCTCCAACTCTATTTTCCAGGGACTACCCTTGTAGGGGAATATAAGCTCAGGAGGCCACAAAGGTGGCCCTTTCCCCCCCACCTCTGTGGCCTTCCGAGCATAAATACCCATAAGCTCAGGTGGCCACAAAGGTGGCCCTTTTCCCCCCCACCTCTGTGGCCTTCCGAGCATAAATACCCATAAGCTCAGGTGGCCAAGCCCAGCCAAAATTTACTGAATTTTAGTTACAATTACTGTAGTCTAAATCCTGTTAGGCATATCAGTTACTATTACAAAAATGATACAGTGCTTTCAACTTCCATTTAAGACAGCAAATAGCTTTGAATAGGATGAATGATTCTGCAGTTGCTACTTCATGTACAGTATTCAAATCTATAAGCTATAGACATTATAAATTCAAAAGGATTTTGTTTATAACTATACCTGTTAAAAAAACCAGCGCTGAATGTAATGTAACGCCATTTTCTGGGCGAGTCCCGGAGGCTCCCCGGAACTATCCAGGCTGATATAATTATCCCTAACTTTGGCACCAGTCGATGTGGGTGGAGTTCTAGGCTTACCGGGGGACCACGAGCCAGAACCTGGCCCCCATCAGAGAGGCACGAGGAACAACAGCCTATAGAAATGCACATGTGATTTTGGAGCACTCTATATCTGCCATCGACTGAGACAGGCACCCAGAAAGGTAAGAGCCCCAAAACAAACCCCTATTTTGGTTAAAAACGACGAAAATAGATAAACGAGTGGACAGAACTCTGCGAATGAAAACAAGTAAACAAGTATGACATCACACAAGCTGGGCCACATGTCTGCATAGCTCCCACCTCCTCGGGAGGGAAAAGGGGAAGCCCCAGACCCCTGCGCTGGCGATCCACCCTGCAGTTCTGAGGCTGGATATAAAAAAAGTGAAAACCACCAGGAGGGAGGGAGGGAGGGAGGGTTGCCGGGGAGCCTCTGGTACTCACCCAGAAAATGAAGTTTCATTACATTCAACGCTGGTTTTCTGGCGGGAGCCCCTACGACTCCCCGGAGCTACGTCACCAAAGACTAAAAATAAAGAAGGGGACTTACCCGGGAGGCAGTCAGTGCTCCACATCTCAACACGAAGTCGAGACAGGCTAAAGCCGCCGACCCAAAGCAACACAGGTTCGACTAAGCCCAGGAACGTTAACGCGGTAGCGTGCAGCCAGGACCCTGTTCGACCACCAAAAACCCCGTGCCCGGTACGGGTCAGGTTATCTTGAGGTTATCTTGAAATGATTTTGGGGCTTTTTAGTGTCCCCGCGGCCCGGTCCTCGACCAGGCCTCCACCCCCAGGAAGCAGCCCGTGTCAGCTGACTAACACCCAGGTACCTATTTTACTGCTAGGTAACAGGGTCACAGGGTGAAAGAAACTCTGCCCATTGTTTCTCGCCGGTGCCTGGGATCGAACCCAGGATCACAAGTCCAGCGTGCTGTCCTCTCGGCCGACCAGCTCCCCCAAATGTTATAACATGAAATGTTACCAAAGATGTAAGCAAGAGCAGCAAACTTATGAATGTCATGGGTACGGGGATAGACCGCAGGCTGGCTAGATTTAATAACTCTGCAGACGACCTGAGAGACCCGTACCTACAAACAGGGAAGAAGGGAAACCAGATCAACGGAAAGCACGTCCTCGGACACAGAAGCCGTGATGCGCAAATAACGGCGAAGAGCCGCAACCGGACACAACACATAATGCACCCCCCGCCTGACTAACCAAGCATCAACAACCCAAGGACCACTCCGGAAAGCCGCAGTCTCATTCTTCGCCAGAAAAGAAGGAGACTGTTGCAGACGAACAAACCTATCTCCACGACCAAAAGAGCAGAAACCCTTGCGGCGGAGGAGAGCATGAAGCTCAGCGACCTGACCCCAGAGGCCAATGCCAACAGGAAAAAGAGCCTTCAAAAAAACAATCCTAAACCGAAGGGGCCACAACAAACCGAGGAGAGGAGAGATAGGAGAGCACTATCTAAAGACCAGGACAGCTCAGGTGGCACATGAGCAGGCCGAAGGTGAAAGAATGCACGAGACAGTTTGTGAAACAGAGCAGAAGTAACACCTATACCGAAAACAAGCTGAAGCAGCTATGCCAGCGTCGCACGATACGAAGCGAAAGTAGTGTATTCGGCACAAGATGACGGTCCTGGAACAACCACGAGAGAAAGGACAACACTACCCGAACCGAAAGCGAAGTACAATGACGAAGCATCAAAAAGAAATTAAAGGACTGCCAGGAAACTTCATACTGCCGCCAAGACGAAGCCCGCAGGTGGGACACCATCCTTGAAGCCACCTGATCACCATACAGATGGTGATAAACTTGGTCAATATTTGGTAAACAATACCAAACACGAAGACGTAAGGTGAAGAGCGAACCATTCTCGTAACGGACTGGGCCAATCTTCTGAAAGAGACAGGGCCATGGAAAACTTCGGGTTCGGACACCGGGCAAGCAGCACCTGAAACCATGGCTGGGCCGGCCACCACAGGGTCAAGAGGACTACCAGCCCTTGGTAAGTCTCCAAGCGAGCCAGGGCCTGGAGCAACAGCTGAACCGGGGGGGAAGATGTGCAGGAACCCCCACCTTATTCAGTCCTGCCAGAAGGCGTCAATCCTGACAGCCTTGAAGTTGGGGAAGAGCGCCACATATACCGAAAAATGCCTCGACCATGCCTGACGCTAAGAGGTCCACCTCCGGCACCCGAACGTCTGGCAGAGCCAACCGAATGAGTCAGCATCGATCGTCCAGTCTGTGGACAGGGGAACAAACTGGGACAAGTCGTACGCCAGGACGTTGGACACCCCCGGACATGAACCGCCAGGAAAGCCAAACCCCGAGAACTCAGCAGACGAGTCATCCGAAGCGACCAAACCCAAAGAGCCAAGGACCGCATTGAACCCGCTCAGTTCAGGCAATGATAAAGGTTCCCGGGGAGTAGTCCGAATAGAGCCAGAGCGTCGATCCGCAGGCAACCTGAACCCTCCGAAGCACAAACCACACCACTGTGAACCCCTGCACCGTGCTGTGGGCCCGACGGAAGGACAGACCCCAACTCCCCTGCCAGCCTGGTGAGCACTGGTCACAAAGCCCTAGCCGAGAGACGACGTGTCAGTGAACACATCGAGCGAGAGCTCAGGTAGGCATCAAGGCACTGAACCTTAAAAAACCCGAAGAGGAAGCCAGCAACGCAGCAGCAGCTGATGAAACGCCCCTGGGGGTCGAACCCAGCGATCGCGCGAGAGTCAAAGGATGTCCCCAAAGGAACCAGAACAGCCGACGAAGCCAAACCCGATCCGGTGGGTAGACCATCATCGCAAAGTTCAGGCGCCCGCACAGAACCTCGAGCAACCGCCAGGTGACCTGGGAGCCCCCAGAAACAAGCGCATGCGGGAACGCAGCCGAAGGAGAGACTCCGGAGGAAGAGACAAGGAAGTGGTCCGAGAGTCCCACACAAGACCCAGCCAGGTCTGAACCAGGGAGGGAGCCAGATGGGACTTTCGCCAGTTCACAAGAAACCCGAACCCGGCTAGCTGGGAAAGCACCAAACCCCTGGCAAGCAGACATGAGAACTGATTGGGAGCCCAAACCAGCCAGTCGTCGAGGTAAGCCAACACTCGAACACCTAACAGACGCAGACAGGCCACCACGACCCGGGTAAGGCGTGTGAACACACGAGGTGAAAGATTCAACCTGAAAGGGAGACAAAGAGAGCGGTAACTCTGACACCCCAGAACAAAATCCAGCCAGTTCCTGGACCCCGGATGAATCGGGACGTGCCAATTCTTGTCCTTGAGGTCCAGGGACAAAATTCAAGCATTTGGCTCCAACAGAAGCCAGACCTGGGACAGAGTGGTCATCCGAAAGGAGGGGCAAAAAAAACCAGGGGTTCAGACGGGACAAGTCCAGAATGAACCGCAGGTCCGCTCAGTCCTATTTCAGAATTGGAAACAGGCGGGAAACCCACCTGAGGGATGTCGCCGTTTCGACCACGTCCAAGCGCATCCACTCCAAACGACCTGACAGCGTGCAGGAGAAGAGGACTGCCCTGCCAGCCCCGAACACCCCGAAGGAGGAGCCACCCAACGCCACTGAAGGCTGTGAGAAACGACCCGAAAAGCCCACAAATGGTGAGACCAGGAGAAAGCGAACATAGCAAGCCTTCCCCCCCCCCATCTCCCCATCAATGAGGCGAACCGCAAAAGGGCCGACGCCCCTTACAAGAACCCGACCTGCGCACAGAGCGAGCACCGTGCTGACCAGGCTCAGCCAGGACCGAAGGTGGCACCGGCTCCGAAACTGGCACTTGTGGCCCACCTCAATACCAATAAGAATCAATAAGTCAGACATTGGGCGGCAGCTGGAGGGAGCCACGTGCATATATTGTTCGAACACAGAAGCCCCAAACAACAAGGGGCAACAGGGCGAAGACATTCTAAGAGCCAGGGCCCAAGCGGATTCCAAGGAGGAAGCGAGCACCATCTGCCGATACGCGAGGTGCGCAGCGAAAAACCGCAACAGCGCATCCTGCAGAACCGGCGCAGACATCTTCAACAGCACAGACGCACGAGCAGCCGAGACCAAGGCGCCAGATCCAGGAACGGCCCCAAGCATCTCTACATCCACAAGCCAATCAGTAGATAGCTCAAGGAGGGAAAAGAAATGCAGGACCGAAGTCAAGGAACCCTGCGCGCACAAGTTCTCAGTCACAAGCGCAGCCAACAGGGAAGGAGCCTGCACATGAAGCTGAACAACGCCAACATCCCGCAGAAGAGCTGGAGTGAAAAGGCACTCGTTAAGGTGTGCAAAGTCGCGCCCCAATATGTAAACCTGGACCACAGTCAACGCCTCGTGCCACTCAAGAGTGCGGGTATGACAGAAGGTGTCTCAAGCATCCAGCGAAAACAGGGCAGTCCACAAGCCAGGATGACTTCGGAACCTTATAACGAACCCAGTATGGAGACGAAGACCCAAACCTGAAGGAAGACGGATCCATTATTGAGACATGCTCAGATTTGCACAGGAGGTAAGCCACAATGGCAGCCCGCACCGCAGTCGGAGAGACGCGGAAAGCCGAGAACCTCTGGAAGGACGGAACTGAACCTGCTGAGGAGTCGAACCCAAATCCAACTCGTACACAGAGGAGGGGAAAGGAAAACCCCACTCTGGGGCAGCCAGAATAGCAGTTAGAGGATGGGCCCACTGGTCAGACACTGGAGCTACGGCTGGAGGAACGGACTCAAATGCCTCCGAAGCCACCCCAGAAGGGGCAACCCCCGAAACTGCCAGTCTCAGAAACCTCTAAACCCCGCCCCGACCCAAAGCCCTCAGACGCTTAGGAGCCGGAAGCAGGGGGAGGGGGGGAGAGACCAAAGAACCACAGCAGGCGAAGAACGATGGGGGCGCGGACAGAACCAAGGCCGAAGCAACCAACACCCCCAACAGGGCAGCCTCGGGACATCCAGGGAAGCAACCAATCTAGTGCGCTGCAACAACCTAAACCTATCACCCCCCCCCCAATAGGTAGCAGGGGGGAGAGACCAAATGAACCACAGCAGGCGAAGAACGATTGGGGTGCGGACGGAACCAAGGCCGAAGCGACCAAACCCCCAACAGGGGAGCCTCGGGACATCCAGGGAAGCAACCAACCTAGTGCGCTGCAACAACCTAAACCTATCCTGCAACGTGCGAGCGGCCTGCACCCGAATAATGTCATCATCAGATTGGGTGAACTGAGTCACAAACAAGCAACAAAGATCGCAGGACTCTGGGTCAAATGTGTCACCGACCCAACAGGCAGCATGACGGAGGCAAAAACAATGAACGTCGCCCTGAGACAAGGGGACAGAGCAACCCTCAAACTTGCAAAAAGCTAGAGGGGACTCAGGGGTCACATCCATTGGACCCGAGTGACCCCACAGGGTTTTCCAGGGCCCCTAGTCTGAGTCTATACTAAGGGTAATCCCAGGCAGGGTACTGCTAACCGGAGCCCAAGCTACCAATCAACACTGCTAATGCTGAACCCCCGGGACGTGTCCACTCACAAGGGCGAAGCAGAGGGGTACCACCAAACACAAACAGCCCTAGTATAAAAGGGGAGGAACACCAAGGCAGCCCCCCTCCCCCCAGACAAAAAGAAAAGAAAACCTCGCAAGAAGACAGCGTACCCAGACAGAGCCGACCGCTGTTATAGGTGAAAACTAGCTACGCAATACCCAGTGCCCCTACCAGTGCAAAAAACTACCACTTACCCCAAGGTAAACAAAGGCAAAAGCTCCCAAAACACTCATGGCGGTCAATTGCCAAGCAGCAAAAAACCAACAGAGGTAGTCCCAAGGTGACTTGTGGAAGAGAACCCCAAGCCCCTAGGGTTACTTACAGGGCACTTAGGGAAAGGAGCCCTAAGCGCATGCAGTCCGAGTACCTAAGAATATTACTTATATATTATTAAGAATATTATTACTGCTCTTTCGATGGCTCTCTCGCACGCCATCGAAAGAGCAGTACTGAAACAAGGCACAGCACAACAAGAATCTGGAGCTGGAGCCTCTCAACCGTTGTGCCTCACACCAGCCGAAGAACTACAGGGTGGATCGCCGGCATGGGGTTTCTGAGACTCCCCCTTAAAATCTCCAGGGGAGGGGGGGCTGAGCAGACATGTGGCACAGCTCTTGTGACATCATGCTTGTTTGCTCATTTTCATTTTGGGAGTTCTGTCCACTTGTTTGTCTATTATTGTCATTTTTAACCAGAATATGGGTTTGTATTGGGGCCCTTACCTACTGGGTGCCTGTCCCGGTCAATGGCAGATATAAAATGCTCCAAAATCACATGTGCATTTCGATAGGCCATTGCTCCTCGTGCCTCTCTGAGAGGGGTCAGGTTCTGGCTCGTGGTCCCGGTAGGCCTAGAACTCCACCCACATCGACTGGTGCCAAAGTTAGGGATAATCATATCAGCCTGGATAGCTCCAGGAAGCCATAGGGGCTGTCCCCAGAAAAGCTGTTTATAATATTGCAAGCAAGATATTACTTACTTCTTTACACGACCAGCACAAAGATTTCCAGGTGGGCCTGCACGATCCCAGTCTGGAGAGGCTAAGGGGTCATATCGCCAACTTCCTGAAGAAGTACTTGGCAGGTAGAATGATTCTTGGTCTACTGGCACTGCATGAGGAGATTGTGGGTTGGATAACACTAAGGGTGGGGAAAGTGGTGATAATACAGTGGATATTGCAGAGAGGGAGAGTTGAAATGGTGATAATTGTTGTGCCGAGTCGAAAGATGATACAGAGGTAGACTGAGTCTGCGAAGTTTGCAACTCTGTGAGTAGAGACTGTGATGAAGTTAACTCTGTGGATGACAATGAGGGAGAAATTACTGCTGAAGGGAGGAGAGGCAAGACTGATGAGGGTTGGGAAGAAGGTAAAGCAGTAGAGGACAGTACAGGCATGGAATGAGGTCCTGTTGATGAATTTAAGATGGATATGTTGGCTGTGGATTGTGACGATGGTAAGGCAGTTGACACAGTTTGAATAGAACTCCAAACAGATGACTGTGAGGGAGATATTGGCAAAGATTCGACTGGAGGAGAGTTTGAAAGAAGATATTCTGATATTGGAGACTGTGAATGGGGACAATCTGTTGGGATATATTGTGATGGGGGCCACACTGTTAAGGAACCTGAAGATGTAATAACAGTGAGTGGAGACTGTGTAGGGGATGATGAAGCAGAAAGTGACTGAGAGGAATTAACCCCATCTGGGAGAGACACTGAAGAATGAACTGCATTTGAAAGAGATTCTAGAGTTGGGATGATTGATGTCGAATCTGCTTCAACTACTGTGCTCTGAGACTCCATGCTGATTTTCAATTCTAGCCTGGGGAGCAAAAATATCCCATATTAGAATTTATTACAAGTTCCTTACCTTATAAATGCTACATAACCATATTCATATTCACAGGACATTTATTTTTATATCCAGTCACAATCTGGCCAGATGGCTATAGATCAAGTTTTCTTAATTATAAAACACCATGTAAAACACATATACAAAATTTTATACTCTTTAGCAAGTTAAAGTCTCATATATAATCATAGCTGACAAATTTTCCCATTGTAAATATAAATAAATATTAAGAAACTGCATCTTTGCAACTATAACGGCTTCAGATTGAGAAGCATAGTGCAATAAAAGAAAGTTATGCACAGTATTACCAATTACCAAGTATCAAATATGTTTATGACACAAAAGCAATAAAGTGACATGAAAGCTTGTTTGATCACATTATAGCAAAGTGTGTTATAGTGTGTTATAGCAAAGATGAGATTCAATGGCAAATGACGCTTCCTGAACATGCAAAAGGTGAAAGAATAAAAGTTGAGAAGTTAATTTAATAATTATCACTTTCGCTTGGCGAGGACTCAATGCTGAGTCATCCGTGAAACAGGGGCAAGTCCGGCGAGGACTCATCATCGAGGCCTCCATTAAAATATTTGCCAAAAATCTGGTTTTTATCCGATTTTGGGGGGACTGATTTTAAACTGCATGCCAAAGCGGCACACGCTGCCTTTGCTAGGCCATGTGGCACCCAGGCGGCTCGGCCTGCGCCGTAGGCCCATTGTTTATGCTCCATGGTTGTGAACGGTGTCGCCTCCCCTCGCGTCTCAAATGTGTGAACATTTCAGCTATTTTCCGTGGCTATATTTCTTTGTGTGACTTTAGATACTATTTGGGCTTACTCCACAATGGATAGTGATCATGAATAAGACCCTTCCAGTAAGAAATCCACGAAAACAACGCGTCAGGTGGAGAAGCTAAGTAGTTTTCACCTGAAGTACAAGCGAGTGAGACTCACACCCTCTAAGTTTCAGGCTGTATTTGATGATTTATCTGAGTTATCTAGTCACGAAAGTGTTGTTGAGACTGACATTGATGAAGTTAGTGAATGTATTGCAACGGAAACAGCAGAGGAGGATTTTGATAGTGATGGAGGTGAGGAGTCTGAGGTTGAGACTGCCTCACGTGCAAAGCAAGGTACTGGGGCTCGTGCCAGACCCAAACATACCACACGTACCCCAACACCAACAGATTCTGGTGAAGGGTGGTGTAGTGACAATACTCCAACCTTTGTAGACAGTTTTACAGGAATACCAGGCTTGAATGTTCCTGTACCTAGCACTCTTTTGGGATTTATTCAATTATTTCTCACTCAAAGTTTGCTGAAATATATGACTTATGAAACTAATTTGTATGCTTCCCAAAGCAATGCACGTACTGGGACCAACACAAACAAGAGATGGGAACCAATGACAGTGAAAGACATGGCACGATATTTGGGACTGATGATCTTGATGGGTACTGTATTTGCCCGTTGCCAAGAATTAGAATGTACTGGCAAACAGGTAGATTCTGGCATATACCTTGTTTCAATACGTTTATGACTTGTAAACGATATGAATTGATTGGAAAGTATTTCCATATTTATAACAGTAAGTCCATTCCACAAGGCCACACTCTAGACAGACTATTCAAAGTTCGATCAGTCATGCAATATCTCACAAATAAATTCAAGATATTATACATTCCTCAGAAAAATTTGAGTTTGGATGAAGGCACAATGGCATGGCGTGGCCGTCTATCTTTCAAGACCTATAATTCCAATAAACCTGATAAATATGGAATGAAGCTCTACATGCTAGCTGAATCAAAGACTGGCTACATCTTTGATTTTGAAATTTATGCCGGAATTGGGAAAACGACGATTGAAACGGTAATGGGCTTGATTGAACTACTGAAGAACAAACGTTACCATTTATATATGGACAACTATTATAATTCGGTTCGATTGAGTGAATTGCTGTTTGAAGTAGGGATATACACCTGTGGTACCATCAGAATGCAACGTGGTGCACCTAAAACCCTTCAGATCCGAGCAAAGGGTAAATTGCCGGTAGATACAACTGTATTCGAACGGAGGGACAATACTTTCATAATTTTGTGGAAGGATAAGCGAGTTGTTTCACTCATAACAACTTGCCACAATGCAGATACACAACAAGTTGAACGTAGAAAACGAGTACGGAATCATGATGGAACGTCTTCAGTGAAACAGGTAACTGTCAACAAGCCAAACGCAATCTGTGACTACAATTCAAACATGAAAGGTGTTGATCACTTTGACCAAATGGTCAAATATTATCACTTCACAAGGAAAAGTCTCAAATGGACGAAGAAAATGACCTATTTTTTGCAAATGGCTATCCATAAAGCTTATGTGATGTACAAATACTACACAACAGATAGAAGGAAACTCTCATTACTCCATTTCCACGAAGAAGTCATTTCGGCACTACTGTTCTATCATCAAAATAAATGGCCTCAGCAAAATGATGACATCCCACATGCTCCTGATGTAAATGCCGCTGGAGCAAATGTTGCAACACCCGGACCATCAACACCAGGACCATCAGGTGTGAGGCGCCCACTATTCACTTCACCTGTACCTGTAGCTGTACCTTCATTGTCTAAGTCAGAAGACGAGATGCTGATTATCCCTAGTAGTGCTGCTGCTTCAAAAAGACCCGTATTGTGGATAATCCAGAACGTCTCAACAGAAACTTGTCCCATGCCCAATTAAAGATAGAGAAGTGTCTGAAGTGTCATGTTTGCAAATTGTCTGGTAAAAGGAGGGACACACCTATAAGTGCAAGACGTGCGATGTGGCACTGTGTCCTGGACCATGCTAGACCAACTACCATCACAAGAAACAATTCTGGGCTGATAAGCAGTAATGCTTGCCCACCATCCACTCCACCTATAAAAAACACGGTTAACTCTTCAGGAACCGTTTTCCTGCTGCAGGTGAAGTGGATAAAACTAATGTTCAACCCATGTCATGCTCCACAAACAACACTGTATTGGTAAGTACAAAAAGTTTTAGTTTTTTATATAGTTTATATTCTTTTTTATACTTTATTGTATTGTATTTGTAATATTGATCTTCAATTTGCCCTTATATGCATATATCCATCTAAAGCATTCTATTAGGAACAATTTCATACCAAAATGAGCATTGTAACACGAAAATTGACGTTAGCAACCGGAAAATATACTAAACATTTGTGGGTGGGAATTGGGGGTGTAGCGGGTGGGCGTCTGGGCGCTCCCTCGCGGCTAACGCGTGGCCCGTCTTCAACTCGTCCGTGGGTAGAGTGTGACCCGGTTTTTTATTTTATGTGCATATACTCTAGAGAATTCTATTGTGAACCCATTGATACCAAAATGAAAGACCTAGGACGAGAATTGAGGTGACAAAGTTGAAAAGAGTATGCACTTTTCGGAATTACCGCGCGCCCCCGTGAAACGCCCAAAGCCACCTGGGGTAATGGGGAGGTCACATGCCCAGAGCGCGAAAGTGTGAAGAGAGACAAGAGTTGCCCCGACGTGTGTCAAAGGAACGTTGACCATCATCTAGGGGCAAGAGAATTTACCAAGAAGACTTATGATGTCACATGGGAGTGCTTGATTTGGATTGCCAAGCACATCCAGTGTTAACAAACTGGAAGACAAGCAACAAAGACATGCTTGGTGGAACAAATTAGTAAGTGCAATTGAGAAGAAAATTAAGTGAATGTTGTGGATGCAAACTGAAGGAAAAGGATACAAAGAGAAAAATAATGTGGGTAAACCATAAGTTAACAGATCTGCTAAGCAGAAAAAATAGTGAACAAGGAGCTCAGACAAAAAATTAAGTTAATATTATCCTCAAAGCAATTTTAGAAAGATGTTGTAGTGTAAAAAGTAGATTGATGGAATAGTCAACGGAAATATTAAAAATGAATAACAGAAGGTCAACTTGTTAGGAAGAAATAAGAAATAGGTACAGTACATATATGCCTGTATATAATAATGAATATGACAAAAGGGTGAGATCAATGACTTTAGCACGAATCTTCCTATTTGTCTTGTATTTTTCTCCACTTGAGAAAAAAGTTGAAAATATAACTCTCCCAAATTTAAGTACAATTATATTGAGGCCTGACACTAAGAGATGCATTTTATTGACACTTATCAAACTGAAACCTTATTTTCCCCTCCCTTTCAACACAAGTATATGATTTGGTGACAGATCCATACTCTGAATCTTCTGCTCAACCTGAGAACTCGACATTTAAGAGAAGAGGAAAAACTGTGCGAGGTGCAATCTGATCAAAACACTAGAGACGAAATTTACTGACCTATCCCAGAATAAGTTCTGGATTTCTGTGAAAGATGACTATCCTGCCATTCATAGGAAAGCAATATAGTATAGTATTTGCAGGTTGCAACACCTTACATGTGTGTGCAATCTTTTTCTCATTTAACCAGTATCAAGAGCAAAGACAGATATCATCTCCTTTCAGCTGAAAATTAAATCCATGTGTGTTTACCTACAGTTTGACCCCAAATTAAGACAAGCACAGGTTTCACACGAGATGCAAATTTCATTATCTAAATTAGCTTAAAAAAAACATTGTATTGACCCACATATATTTTCATAGTGCCTTGATTTATCTTATGCTTTACAACATTGTCCATATATATTTTTTAGTGTTTGCAGATATGGTTGACTTTTTTTTTAGATTAATACATACAAGTATCAAGAGTATTGATATACAGTGGAACCTCAGTTTTCGTATGCCTGTTTTCATATTTTTTGGTTCTCGTACTCAATTTCTTCGAAAAATTTGATTCGGTACTCGTTGTTTGCCTTGGTTTTTGGAATTTGTTTATACACATACGGGTCCACCTAGCGCATGGCGCTTCAGTTTACCAGTGTCTCCCACCTAGTGATGATCGCGTTTGAATTCTTTGTGAGGAATTTCATTGTTTGTGCTTTTTTTATTTCTGAACATAATTCTTATTATTAGTCCCAGAAAAGTCAGTGGAAATGTTTAACCTAAGAAAATAGTTGTGAGGATGACGATAGAAGAAAAACAAGAGATCATTCACAGTTAGACAAAGTGATGTCTCACTACAGACAAGTGTTAAAATGTAGGGAAAAATAACTGTCTATAAGTATCTATAGACATTCTTAGTAAGACAAGCAAGCAGTGAGCCACAACCAAGTCCTAGTAGTATGCCAGCAAAACATATGACAGAGTACCCCAGAAATGTCATCACTGCTGTTATAATGAAAGGGGACTCCCCTTCCAAACACTAAAACCTCTCCTCCTCCCCCTTCCAAACATTAAAACCTCTCATTGTCTTATGTATGACCCTCTGTCCTGCGTGACAGTGAATACCAGCATTATCCTCACTTTAATAAGACTTAATTAAAATCCTCAGATTAGGCAAAAATGTAATTAATTTTGTCAATAAAGATGTTAATAATAATAATCTTCCTTCCCCCCTTTCCAAACATTAAAACCTCTCCTCCTCCCCCCTTCCAAACACTAAAACCTCTTCTCCTTCCCCACCCCCTTCCTCACTGCCTTCCATATGCCAACAAGAGTCCTCAATAAAGATAAGGTACCTATCTTGAGGTTATCTTGAGATGATTTCGGGGCTTTTTTTAGTGTCCCCGCGGCCCGGTCCTCGACCAGGCCTCCACCCCCAGGAAGCAGCCCGTGACAGCTGACTAACACCCGGGTACCTATTTTACTGCTAGGTAACAGGGGCATAGGGTGAAAGAAACTGCCCATTGTTTCTCGCCGGCGCCCAGGATCGAACCCGGGACCACAGAATCACAAGTCCAGCGTGCTGTCCGCTCGGCCGACCGGCTCCCCCACATCGTAACATGCAAACGTAAACCTAAGAGTATTATTCTGTATAAAATGTACCTTGTAGTTAATATATTTGGGGGTGTGGAACGGATTAATTCAATTTACATTATTTAAATTCGTTTCGGTTTCATATTTTTCGGTTTTCGTACCGTCTCTGGGAACGGATTAAATATGAAAACTGAGGTACCACTGTATTATATAATTATTTTTATTCAGGGGGTTCCTTGAGACATGAATATTATTTCAAGGGTGCCACAATGGTAAAAAGGTTGTGAAAACGCTGTTCTAGGGTCTTACTTGTCGCAAGTGACAAACACCAGAAGAATGGAAATATGTCAATGATAGTGTCTGCCCCTACAAGCAACTAGAGCATGCCACAACATCAACTTTAGCCACTTTATCAGTTAACACAAGTCAAAGCAATGTAGTATCAGCTTCTTAGGTACTTTACGCCTTCAGCAAACATTAATACCAAGTCAAGCTTAAACTTTCTAAACCCTAGGATTAATTTAAACACTCCCAAACTCAACCTAAATGACTCACGAAACTGTCATAACAAATAAATGCCTAACAGCCAACGCCCAACACCTAACCACAGCTACTGTACTTCAGGGAAAGATAAAAAGAGATGTACAGTACCACAAGAATGTCACCAGCTGAAGTCAACCCCCAACACACTCGCCATATAACAAGACAAACGTAGCTCTTTAACTTACCCCCCTCCTAGAGCGAGGAGTGGCGAGTCCAAGCTCTCTTATCCCTCGTATAACTCTAGCACCGATCAGGGAGGGAAAATATATAACAGGGAAAACTCGACCCCCCCCATTCACAAGTCCTATGAAGGATGTATACAGCCCACTGTCCGCGTCGTCCCGGACCACACAGTTATCGTTCCACAAAGGCAGGCTTCAGAAATGAAATTTAGTTTCTTGGCGCATATATGTTTTAATCTATTAAAAAATATTTATTTATTTTGTTTGATTTATAACTATAAATTGTAGGCATGTCTCCATGTATCACTGAATAAATGTACTATTTTTTACTCTTTCAGATGGAAGGATTTTTTTTATTAAATTTGGATTCTACTTGCACAAAACCCTCACATATTATATACTAAACCTCTTGTAACCTGAAATAAATCTATACATTTGGGTAGATATTTCAAGTAACTAGAACTTGGTATAAAATCCAGGATCAAGTTAAAATTAAAAATTTTGCCCAGAACTCTGTGAGTATTAGTTACTTTAGGCATAATAATATATATACCAGCTCAATCTAGAAATCCAATATTCTGCTTGTAATTCATTTTGTTTGAATGTCATTTTACCTAAATAAATTAGTATTATTATTACTATTATTATAAAATCATTCGATGAAACCTATATATTTATATAAAATAAATCGTCATTAGTTATAATACAGATTATACTTTACCTGAAAGTATTACATCTTTATTTTCACAATAAAAATGTAAAATATTGGCTAACAATAAATAAATACATAACCGTTCAAAAACCAAGAATGTTTAAATATTATCGTACATCAATAAGAAAAACAACAAGCTGTTACCATATGTTCAATTCCATGTCAGCGCTTTATTATCTTTATGCTACAAATAATTACCTGAATTTACCTTAGCGCTACTAACACTAATAGCCTCGATGAGGACAGGTTAAACCTTAATTTTGTATAGATAATATTAATATATGTATAATATATGATTAGAATTCAAATTATGCTTCTTCTATACTCATTAGCTACTTTTTTATATTTAAATAACGGATCGTAAATTAAAACTTTTCATGATTATAGAGCGCCTGGCAAACGTAACATGCATGTACCATTAAGCTTTTCAACGTCTGGCGCGGGTATTACCCAACATGATGACACACACACTGAAAATAGATTGGTTAGAGAGGCGGGGTCCAAGAGCTTAATAGCTCGATTCTGCAGACACAAATAGTAAATACAAGTTGATTGTCCAGGACGGACCGAAACGTCGGCGTCTCTTCACTTTCTAGTATGTGGTTTGGTCAACACATTTCTCAGCAACGTTATCGTGACTCCTCATCTGCAGTAAATACAAATATAAGTACTGTTTGAATTATTTATGTACTCCTGAATTTACCTGAGGGCCACCAATACTAGTGGCCTCGACGAGGAGAGGAAGCCAGCGGCTTGTCAAAAGTCTCCCCCATTTGCCCTGATGATCTTTTTCAATTGTACCTTAAAAGTTAACAGAGTTTTGGCATCTACGGCTTCGGTGGGTAGGCGGTTCCATGGGTTTATAACCTTGAGGGTGAAAAAGCATCTCCTGTTCTCAGTCCTACACTGTGGGTTGTGCTACATCTGACTTTTTGAAGATATTGTCCGGATCAACATCCTCTGAGAGGATGTATACTGTGAATTATATCCCTGCTTGTTGGTGTTATACACTGAGAGGTGTACCCTGCTTCTTGGTGTATATACATTGAGAGTTTACTTTAGTTCTGGACTATGTTCAAGACTAAAGTATACTTGTGCTGTGTGGTCAGTAAGCTCTTGTGGGAACCTTAATCAGAGGGTCTGACGGCCGAGTGAACAGTACTCGGGGTGTTTTCCGCCTCAGCGAACGGAAACGGAAACAAATGTTGAGTTTCTTTCATCCTATTCACCTAGCAGTAAATACGTACGAGTTAGACAGCTGCTACGGGCTGCTTCCTGGGAATGTGTGTGTGTGAAAATTAGGATTGAGGACTTGCCCGAAAGGCTACGCATGCTAGTGGCTGTACTAGAATGTAAGAACTCTTGTATTTATAAATAAATTAGTTAATTATCCTCCAGAGGTTGATAGACCATAAGCCCAACACCTTAAAGCGTTCTCAACCTCATCAAACTGAATATTCCTATTGACCCATTGCATTGCCCTGTTGTAATAGGACTGTCGCCAATATACCGCGAGGCTCAAGGTAGTTATATTGGTTAATATATTTAAAATATGAATATATTTAAAATGATGTAGCTTGCATACATCGATCTTCAGTGGATTATTCCGCACTTCTGCTTGCTTTCGAGCCCGAAAGAAAGTTTGCTGGGCTTGGAAAAATGCAGAACGAAGCCTCGAGGATTAGACTTGGTTGCCTACGTACCACGAAGATACTTAATATGAGTCCCCGTGGTAGATGATGGTAGCCGAGGCTATTTCCCCATCATCCCGCCGGCGCTCTGATGGTAATCTTGGGCATGATATTTTATCAAATCACCTCATTTTTTGGGGCCACATGAGCAACACAAATGCGAGCAAGCCTGAATGGTCCCCAGGCGTTATCTTGAGGTTATCTTGAGATGATTTCGGGGCTTTTTTTTAGTGTCCCCGCGGCCCGGTCCTCGACCAGGCCTCCACCCCCAGGAAGCAGCCCGTGACAGCTGACTAACACCCAGGTACCTATTTTACTGCTAGGTAACTGGGGCATAGGGTGAAAGAAACTCTGCCCATTGTTTCTCGCCGGCGCCTGGGATCGAACCCAGGACCACAGGATCACAAGTCCCGCGTGCTGTCAGCTCGGCCGACCGGCTCCCATACGACCGTACTCCCATACTCCCATACGACCGGCGTATATGCAACTGAAAACGCCACACCCCAGAAGTGACTCGAACCCATATTGCCAGGAGCACTGTAGATCCCAGCACTGAAAGTAGCACACCAGGTAGGAGCAGCAGTAAAAAAAGCTAAAAAAAAAAAAAATCTACAAATAATCAATCGTACCTTTGATTTTAAGGAAAAGAAGATCGTGATTCAATTATATAAATCTCTGGTGCGCCTCCACTTGGGGTACTGTATCCTAGCACAGAGACCTCATTTTCAGAAGGACATAGCTGTTATCGAGAAAGTGCATCACCGGGCGATAAAACTCCTTCCAGAGCTAAGTCAACTCACGTATCAGGAACGGTTGAGGGCCACAGGGCTAACAACACTGCAAACCAGACATGACAGGGCTGATCTCATCGAAACTTTTAAAATACTGAACAATTTGAAGGTTGTTGATCCAGACAATTTCTTCAAAAGAGCCTGTGTGACACAGACAAGATGCAACGGTTTCAAGCTCAACAAGCCCCAATGTAGGACTGAAAATAGTTTTTTAGTTAGTTTAGTTCATTTATTATGCACTCCATACCTATCTTGTGTGCGGTAGTGGAAAGGGTTACAGAGGCACATATAATGGGTTCAGGGACTGAACCCATTATATGGGGGTTCAATAGTTGTGGGGTTCAGGGACTGAACCCCACAACTATTTAGCTAAGTTACAATCTTGATGAGCTAGTTACAAAATTCAATACACGTCGTCACATCATCAATGGGTTCGAGATCAATCAAAAGTACAGTTTCTAAATTAAGCAACTGACATATGTGGAGAGCTAGTGTCACAATTAATATGTTTGTCCTGCACACGGCCCCCCATCCAGTGGGCAGCGGTGGATAGGTTACAATCACTTAATTACTACCTACAGTTAGCAAACTGGGGATATTTGGCTAAAATATTTGGTAGCAGATCATTTTAAATGAAATATTGACACATCTTTGGTACATTTGTTATGTGTTTCAAAGTCCGGGAAATTTACTGAGATTTTATGTTCCTTCATTTGTTATATGAACATTTGGAACTTTGTCTCTGAATTCACGTATCTTTTCGCATTCTATCACATGGTGACGGAGAGTGTGCGAATAATTTTGTTGACACAATTTACGTTTGGTCAGGTCTACATCAGGAGATCATGAGAATTCCCAGAGATACTTGTAACCGAGTCTAAGCCGAACCGTAGTAACATCTAGAAGTCTGCTGATTTTATTGGATGATCCATAGATGTGTGGCTTCTCTTGCATGATAGCATTATGATAGATGGAATTGCTGGTGTCGATTTCACTTTGCCTCAGATCTACAAGATCTTTGCTTGAGATCAAGCTTGACCTCAGATCTACAAGATCTGAGGCAAAGATCTACAAGATCTTTACTTGAGATCAAGCTTGACCTCAGATCTACAAGATCTGAGGCAAAAATCTACAAGATCTTTGCTTGAGATCAAGCTTGACCTCAGATCTACAAGATCTGAGGCAAAGATCTACAAGATCTTTACTTGAGATCAAGCTTGACCTCAGATCTACAAGATCTGAGGCAAAGATCTGCAAGATCAAGATCAAGCTTGACCTCAGATCTACAAGATCTGAGGTCAAGCTTATCGAGGTCTAGGGAGACCTCGATAAGCATTGTAGGCTCTCTGTCGTATACATTGAGAACTTGTATGGGTATACATATACCCATACAATCGTCTACCTTCTTAAGATGTAGCTGCCATTATACTGGACGCATCATATCCACGGGTTGTCGGCGCGTCTAAATCAACAACAACCACCATTATACAACAACAACCACCATTATACAGTATGTTAGTTAAAAATACAACTTGAAGAAATCTTGACGAATAATAGGAGTGTTTGTTAACAAGCCACCGCCTTCTTGTCCACGTCGAGGCCTCCAGATATGATGGTTGTCAAGTAAAGTAAATTTCGGTATCCCAAGGATATCTTCATTTTTACTTAAGTCTACCCATATCCATTTTCTGTGTTGGTCGTTCCATCTTCTCTCGGTGTGACTCAACTTTCTGACGCTTCTATCTATTATTACCAGACGATCCCAATACAACGAGGTGACAATAGCTTGAGTTATCTCATTTCTTCGAATTTATATTTCAATAAACTCATCTTCCTCCTTATACAAACACACCAGTATCCAAATTCAAACTTAATATGGTGTCTGCAAGAGTAATATTTATCTGGCAGTATCAAAAGTTACGAGTTTGGTATCAGGCGTCAAGCCTATCACTGAGTACCCAGTCATTACCTACTCAG